AGTTCGATTATATAATCGGATATTTTAGTCTTTAATAGAGTACCCGCTTTTTTATAGTTAAATACGTTAAGGAATTCTTCTAATTTAAGAGGTATTTATACCTAATCTATATCTAATATAGCGGCGTCTTTATCTAATAACTAGACCTCTTTTAGTATCTTAACTAATATATAGATAATAGCGGTATTTCTTAATTATTTTACGAATTTATAGGGATTTTAGAGTTCGAAACTCTTCGTTCCGAACTACTATTTATCTATACTAGGATATAGAATTACGTTAAATTTATTTATAAACGTCCTAGATAGAAGTATTAGGCTTCTTTCTAGTCTAGGATCTCTCTCGATCTTAATATAAGGTCGATTTATTATCTTTTTAGTCTCTCTAAAGTCTCTAATTATAAAAGATATCTAGTATATACTATAGATATAGAGTCGTTCTAGGGTTATATCCTTTAGTAATAGAGATATAAAGAGTATAGTATATAATTTATTTTCTTTAGCGAACTCTCTATTAATTATATTATATTCTACGCTAATATCTAGATCCGCGTATATTTCGATACTATTATATATAGTAATCGGTATATAAAGGCGTACTATAATCCTAATAAATAGGTATTAAGCTAGTATATCGGGATCTACTTTAGCTCTTCGACTTTTCCTAATTATCTAGAATCCTAAGTTTTTAATATTTAGATAATAGATTAAACTAAGGCTTTCTAGGGGTAATCCTAAGCCTAATAGTTTTTATCTCTATAGATAAAATAGATACTTTTCGGTATCTTTTTAGTACCGTTTCTCTTTTTAGGCTACGTATTATTTATAGAGCTTTATAAATTATCTTAATTATTTAATCTATATCTCTAGTCTTAGCCTCGGATTCTAAAATCCTTAGGTTACCTTCTATCCTAAGATTATCCTCTACTCTAGAGGGTCGAGGTTTTAATATAAGAGTAATTTAATATCGAATTAGTATAGTTTCCCTATCTTTTCTTATCCTAATAATAATAGTTTAAGGAGTCTTTCCTAAGCCTCTAGTATATAAAATAAATATAGTAAAGTATAGATACTAGCTTTAATATTTCGTCCTAGTTTATTAGTAAAATGCTATTATTAGTAGTAATTATAATATCTTAGAGAGGTTTCTATAGTTTTATAAATAAGATCTAGGTCTTTTATTCCTTATTCTAGTTTAAAAGGTAATTCTCTAGCGATTTAAAGTAGTTTTTAAAATTATAAGAGTCTTAATAGGATTTTATTATAGCCTTTTAGAATTAGATAAGAATATTAGTAATAATATTATAGGAGTTCCTTAGAAGTATCTTCGTCTATTCCCTAAATATATCTTAATCCGATATCTCTTTAGGATATTTCTATTTATAAGATATCTATTTTTTTTTATAAGAGATATATAAGTAATTTATAGCGGTAAGGATTTTTTAGATTCTTAAGATATATTTTTTTAGAGTCTTTTTAAAAAGCGTTTTAAGATTATTTAGCTAATCCTCTCTTTATTTTATATTAAAATCTAGTTTAAATCGGCTAATATCTCTTTTAATCTCTCTTTTTTAGGAGGGTTTACTTTTTATAGATAAATCGCGGTAGTTCCGAGATCTTCTTATTATTTAACCGAAATTCCGAAGTTTCTCTTTATTTTCCGCGACCGCTTTTTAGACTATAAGAATATATTCTTATAATACTACTCTAGCTTTATACTCTATAATCTTTTCTTCTAAGCTTCGAAGGGTTTCGTCGGTAATACGAGAGCTTTCCGCTACTATTTTAGTAGTTTATTTAGGTAGATCCTAAATTAGTATTTCCTCTTATTCTTCTGTAGGTAGAAGTATTCCCGATTCGCTACCGGTTTAGATAGGATACTCTAGCGCCTTAGTATTATTACGCGAGCTACTACGGGTAGTTAGGGGAGCTATTATATCTTAGGTAATTAAAGAAGAAGAATTAGAATTATAAGAATATACTATTTTTAGGTATAAGGCCTATTAACCGGGTAAGATACGTTAGCTTAGGAGGAGGGAATAAAGGTATATTAGGCTATATATGCTAAGACTAATTCTTGCTAGAATTCAGGGGGTCCCGGGGGGACCTAAGATTAAAAGGAAATGTGCGTGCCAAGGCTCGGCACCGATCAGGTAACGAACCCCGCACGATTCACACACGTGTCAGAAACTTCTATGAATATATGTGTCGCCCAAGTTCCTGTTTCACCTTTGAAAGGACCTTTATCCTTTACATCTACTAATTAATAAGCTTTATATACCTACTTTTCGTTCTTACTAGGGTTGCTTTTAATAGTAATCCCCTCTGTTATCTCTACTAGTTTAGTAAGACGTTGCTAACTAATATAGCCTAGGCGCCTATACTAAGTTTAGATTAAAGCTTCTGATTTTAGCTTACTTACTAACTTCTTTATAGTAGTAAGAGCTATATCCTTCGACGTCTTTGGTTGTTTTAACTATATTAACTTCTAGTCCTAATATACTCTATATACCGGTTTTCTAGTAGTTATTTCGATATAGTTCTTTCTAAAGTTTATTACTATCCCTACCTTTATTATTAATCTATTGGATATTAGATTACTATAGAAATTAGGCGAGTACTTAGTGTTATATAGCTTTATTTTGACTACTTTGCTACTATTGACTGCGCTAATACTATAGATTACTATAGTGCCTACCCTATCGATACTTATTTCTGTATCTCCTACCCTAACGCTGCTCTATATATCTTCGAAAGTTTTAAATAACTCCCGATTGTTATAGATATATATCTACGCGCCGGTATTAACTACCTATCTCCGTCTAATTAGTTCGGCTTCGTAGATTTAGGTAGATATAACGGTAGTAGAGGTTAGAATTTACTTACTAGCCGCCGGCTTACTTATCTAGGGCTTGCTTGTCTAAGGCTCTCCGGCCTATAGCTTGGTTTCCTATAGCTTGCCTACCTTTAGTACGCCGGCCTATAGCTTGGCTGCCTAAGGCTTACCTGTCTTTGGCGCTCCGGCCTATAGCTTGCCTTCCTATAGCACGCCGGCCTATATAGAGAAGAATCTATATAATAAGTCATCCTCTTCGTTATTAAGGGTAGCATTTACTTGCTACGCTACCTTCCCCTATTATACTAGGTTTTCTTAACGTCTCTTATTAACCTAGGCCTTCTAAGTAGGGTTAGCCTTTATAGCTTTCTCCTATTTCTACTTAGCTTCCTTATTTCTAGTATATCTAGAAGGCTTATTCTTATTAAAAATATCCTAATACTTCTAAGATAGGTACCGTCTATAGTTCTATCTATATAGATATAGCTTTAATTTAAACGGTAGTTCTTCTCTAGCTAACTTCGTATTAGCTAACTTTTTATCCGAGGTCTTTAGCTTAGCTTCTTCGTAGCCTTACTATATCGAAAAAGTAGCTTTAGAGATATCCCTTTAATTAGTAACTAGCTTACTATAGGTAATCTTCTAGTATACTCGATACCGGTTAAAAAGCTTAGTAAATCCGATATCTTCTTTATCTTATAGTCTTAGAGTCTATATCTTGTAGAATCTAGGTAATATTACTAAGATAGTATTAAGGAACTAAGTCGAAGTATTATTTACCTCTAGTATTCCTACTCTTTTATAGCTTAATTAAACTATCTCCTAGTTTAATAGCTATTTATCGATATTAGTATTCTTATCTAACCCTCTATCTAGGCTTCTCTATTATTAATAGAGCCTAGTAGAATAGGTCGGATTATACTCTAAGGCGAACCTTTCTCGAAGGTTTCTAAGTAGACTATATAGAGTCTTATAGTCTATAATAAACGGCTAGAAGTTTACGTAGACGCTATTCCGGATTACTGTTATAATTATACTTAACCCCTTCTTTTCCTAGGTATAAAGTATATTCTTTATCGACTAGTTCGATTAAATTACTTTATAAGTATCGACCTATTTATCGCTATACTTCTTCTCCGCTTCTTCAATCGATATAATCTCTACCGGAGCTTTCCGTATCTCCGGTTCTTTTTTCCTTACTAGGATTATATAGCTCCTAAACGTTAAATTGTACTACAATCGATTCGATATTAGCGATCTATATATCCTAAGTTTCGGTATCCTTAAGGATAACGCGGGAGGATAGACCCGCGGAGAGATAATCGGCCATGATTTATTAATAGATTTCCGATTTTTCTTCGATTTAGGGGTTACTTCGTCGCTAGGTAAATTACCTCAGTATCGATTGGAAGCAGGGTTGATCTTTGAATTGATGTTTTAATGGAACAAAGCCGGGCTCATAACTGACAGAAATCTGACGTATTGAAATGTATGGACCTTAGGGCTGATATGGAGAACTCTGCATTTTCTACATAATAGAAACTGCTGTTTCTGTGCGGTTTATGACTAAGCTAGATTACATAATCTGTATCATCCCATGTATGCAACCTTGCAATTTGACAGTTTCCTAAATAGGAGGGCACTAAGGCTATCATGTTCCGCTCACCGGATGGCAAGCGCTAGTGTCCCATGAGAAGTTACGGCCCCTTCAGTATTCAATCGGCATGAAGCCCTCCCAAAGTTATAAGAGAGGTAGGCAGTCTGGATGCATCATATGGCCATTTGGATGAGAGTTAACCATCTCTTATTGGCACATATGGATGCCTAGTTGATGCCTCAGGCTGCGGTCCGCACGCTGACATGTCATCACTGCCAGGTGAGCAGGTACCAACATGCCTACATACATATAAGTGCTGTAAGCACCATGCGAATCCCACACAAGATAGTCAATCATCAGACAACTTCCAATATGGCGAGCATATGTTCCCAAAATGAGCGCGTCCGGTTAACACCGTCTATGATCCCAGACGCGTGTAACTTCGACGCCAAGGATTCCTCATTTTTCAACAGATGGAGCGAATTACCCTCACCGGAGGAAGTTCGGAAAACGACCGAAGACCACAGTTTGGACAGGCGAAAAAAATCTCACATACGCGGGGCAACACATGAAACCACCCCTTGCGGTGTTTGAGCATATGGGCCTAGTTGTCAAATGGGGTGTTCTTGTTAACATCCACGAGGCTCAGTCGACCTATGCTGTTTATCACCTATTGAATGGGCGGGTGCCAGTTCCCGAAATCTTCGGATGGCGCACAGACGGAGACGAGAAGTTCATCTACATGCAGTATGTACAGGGCCAGACTCTGGAGGAGACTTGGGACTCGCTACAACTTACCGACCGCGATACCATCGCTCGAGAGCTTCGTATAATATGTGACAACCTCCGCCAGCTTGAGCAAGACCCTTCCGACAAGTTCATAGGTCTGCGCCGGCCTAATACCTTCCGTGTTTCTATCATCTGCATTTCTGACTTCCCCCTAGGCAACGTTATGCGAAAATCTATCTACGATAGAGTATTCGCTTCGCATACGCATGAGGCGGGGCCGTTCACTACAGTCCGTGAGTTTCACGACTGGTTCATATTTCTTTGTCGCAAACCGATGCGCGATCCACACTCTATTCCAATCGAGCCCTTTCGGTATGACCTACCCGATGACAGCGCTATCAAGTTTACCCAAGGTGATCTCCACCGCAGCAATATTATCATTTCATTATGCGAACCATATCGTGTCCTGGCTATCGTTGATTGGGAACAGTCTGGTTGGCTACCTGAATACTGGGAGGCCCGCAAAATGGAGTGGACTGTCAGTGACAAGGAGTGGCCAAAATACCTACCATTGATTTTAGATCAGTACAAGAGTACCGTGGAAGCATGGTGGTGGTATGTGGCTTCTCTGGGGTGTTAAATCAGGAGTGACCCACATGAACCGAGTTGGAGACCGAAGAAAGTTCTCGGATACAAGTATGGGTTGAAAACTAGCTCTCCACGAACTCTCAACGTAATGGCTGTAGGTTATTTACTGTTATTGTGGTGGCCTTAGGCTTTTAGTTAGTGCCTCAGGCATTAACAACTCAGTAGGTAGCAGGACGCAGCTCACCGGCGCATAGAATGGCCGAAAAGAATAATAAACTGACTAATTCGTTCATATTTAATGCAAACACAGTGAAAGAAGTACTATTGACCATACTACACCCTCCGCCCCAAATGACGCGTATTTCCTAATACTTAGGCACTGCCCGGAACAGTCTTTTTTTTTACGTTAACCGATGATGAATTCATTTGCCCGGCTGCTTCAGATCGTACTCTGTAGAAGCTTTTATTAAGCTCTTTGACTTGGCATCAGACCTGGAAAATCCGATAGAAATGGTGGAACTATATAACGGCAGTCTCGAGTCTATGCCTAAAATTGCCGTTGAGTTATAAAACTATAGCTACATATGCTTTTGTCAAATGTTACATAGAGCCAGCACATATGTATACACCCCCACCGTATCACCCACAGGTTCAGATCACCTGATAATTCCATATATATGTTCCAGATAGTCACGAATCTTGACTTGCAGTGGCACCAAAAGTAGATACAACTCTGATCCTCCACTACACAAATTCATACAACGGGCCACAGATATCCACCGACTCATAGTTTAGACCAAAGCCCCTGACCTCAGGAATGATACGGAAGTAGAAGTTGGGGTGGCTATCAGTCTTCACCAGTCCCATGTAATCAGCCATCGGATAAGCGTATGCATCCGACGCCCAATCCTTTGCAATTTCGTGAGCCATGGCCTTCTGCTGGTCGCGAGCCAACGGCGACCGCTTACGGGTAGTGGCGGAGACCTTGAACCCAGCACCATCGAAACGCGTGTGAAGAGGCGAGTCCTGAGCATTGCCGGTAGGGAAGGTGCCAGCGCCTCCGGGGAAGTGTAGGTTGAGATCGCCGTTGTCAAAGTAATTGAATGCAATATCAGAAGCACTGCCTTGGTCGTCGAGGGTCATATTGCGAGCAATTAAGCGTTGAGTCATCCGAGGATCAGAGTCGCGCTTTTCAAGATTCAGGCTAGAGACATCGACTTGTTCCAAGAGGTTATAGATCCACCCATCATTCTGGAGAGCAGCGTGTAAAGCATCTGCGGAGGATGTGTCTATAGGCAGGCCACGACGCACCGGACCAGGGTCAAGGTGTGAATCCTCAGCGGTAGAGGAAGTACCAACTGCTCCGTGGAGTATGCCAGCCAGGAGGAAGAGTATATCCAGTGCACTTTGAACATAACCCACATATTTCGCGCAGTTGGGGGAATTTTCCTGCTCACAGACTTTCTTGGCTTCCCCAGTACTTAGGTGGAGTAGTGCAGCGCTTTATATATATAAGTGTAAGCGATTTGAACTGAAATTGCAACTTAAACCCTAAGAATAGGAACAGGAATAGGAAAAGAAGATGATAAGCAACGTACACCGCACTGCTCTTACTGATTCGTGAGATGACCCTGCCAATCCTCCTACAGTTTGGGGCAACTCGTGCCTCGAGAACTTTCGCTTCATTTGGAGTACGGACCTCGACCTCATTGGTACCATAGCCAACAAGCTCGCCTGAGACCAAATTGGTGTTCCCAGGGATATCAGCCGTAGGAACGGATAACGCTGCTGCATTGGCAACAACGAGGAAACCAAGGCTATGAAGGAGCTTCATTGTAGAGATTTCTGATTGCAAGAGGGTGATGATGGTAGTGAATTGTGTTTAGATTCTCAATTCCCACGTCCCTAAGTGCCCTCTTTATAGATTTCTTTTTGGCCCGAAGGCATGGACGTCACACTCGACATTTTACTACCATTGATATTCTGTAACTTCAACCGCCAGGATTATGAATGTCTTACCAGAATACTCCATAGTTAATCAACCGTTGATGTCCGGAGTATGTACTGTTGTACTCCGTGGCCCCTATAGCTCCATAAGCCCCACTAACTCCACTCCATGTCCAAAGGTCTGTAATAATTCTTTACCAGGTATCAGCTTGATACTGTCTATACTTTACAGTCACGTATTATAAGAAATAGTTATTATTACTATTGTTATTGTTAAGACAATGTTCTCGTCCTGGAGATAAGGTGATGTTTCACCGCCCAAACTTGGTTTTTCTTCCCATCTTCATTTGTCCAACTTTCTCGTTCTCACAGTTCTCCAACGTACCTCTCTGCATTTCCACTCTTGCCAATATGGAGAAAGAAGACCTCCAAACAACACCTATCCCATCCCTAGGATCCTCTGCGGGAAGCCAGCTGGACGATGAGCTACCTACTTCACCCCTCATGTTGATTGTGGACTCCTATCCCGATAACCTCGTCGTCAAATACCTCATGGCACCGTTTGTCAAACATACTTTCTTGTAAGCAAATAAATAACTACCATTGGTGATACTTACTAAATGTATTGGGAATATAGAACCTTCTTTACAGTCCTGGCTTTTCTCTTTGGCTCTCTCCCAGTGTGTGGCCATTGGAACTCGGAGGAGGTTTGCGACCGGAGATTTCACCATCTGGCATTTTTAATTGCGATAGGACTAGTGAGCTTGAAGGGCTATGCCAATTACCTTGGACGAAAGCTTAGAAAAAGAGGAGAGGTCGCGAAAGGCTTAGCTTAGATAGTTCTGGTCTTTTCTTGTACGGAATCAATTTGACAATGTCTGAACTTACATATGTACCATGCCCTAACCCCCAAATCTTTGTATACAACATACAAGCTTTACGTGTATGTGTGTAAATATCAAATACATAATCGAGACAGTGAATCAGAGGGTCAGGGTCCACCCGCGGTCCGTTGGCCCCAGTGGGCCACAGGACGGCTATCCCCGTGCGGTGGGTTTTCCTGGTTGTGAGGTATGAGAGCTGCATCCCTACAAGTAATAAGAGAAGTTCAAGAATTACAAGTTCTAAAGTACGTATGTCTCCTTACCCTAACTATTTGAAGGTCGTGTGGTGTTATATTGCTTCCAATGCACTATGCTAGAGTCGGTGCTAGAGTCAATATATGGCTAGACAAATAAGTGCAGTTTTCGAACTTCTCCTAGCCTCAAAATTAGAATAAATTTGCCTATGGAGATCACTAACGTTATATATGCACTAGCTAGTTTAAGATCTTTGGCCCCTATGTTGTTACCAAAACCCTAGATATTCCCCTTCAGATCCACAACAAAACCGGATTGACTTGGCAGTGTCTTAGCCGTCCCTTGGCAGAAACGCATTCTTATCAAGTCACGTCACCTCGATGATGAACATTACGGCCATCACTCCGTTATTGCACTGTCTCTTATTGAATTTCAAGAAACAATACGAGTGCTGAATACATGAGAGATTGCATATCACCACCTCACCACCTTATCACCTCACGTAATAGGTCATTCGTTCTCAAATTGGGGGGTTTAAAGCTTCATTTTGTTTGTCTAGCTCCGTGGTCCGGCCGAAACAATTCCCTGCTAGCTCTTGCCCAACTCTTGTCTAGCTCTTGCCTAGCTAGAATTACCCCCTCACTCCTACGGACTCCGGCTACTTATGTTCTCGAGGGGTGCCCCCGCCCGGAAAATAGCAAGATCCATACAGTGTGGACTATACTAGTGCCGGGAGACTAAGAGTTGGGACGCTCTGCTCACCGAAAGACAAAGGCAGAGCGGCAGATTCTGCTTCCATAGGAATTCGACTCTCTCCCTCCATATTTTCTGGCCTACCTACACCTTGTAGATGCCGTAACATTTACTCATTAAACCAAGGATTATCCAAAACTTGTTTTGCTGACGCTCTTGCTGACGGTTCAAACAGCAATAAGCTTCCAATGATCTGCCCCAGCCTCGCTATATCCTCCTTGGTGAGATCAGGACTGTGCGGGCTATCGAAGTACAGTTCTTCCAGCCATCCTTGTAGATTGGGCACGGGGCCTTCTGTGGGTTTACTGTCATCTGCCTTCATCGTCTCCCAAATCTTGTGCCATCTTTCAGGTAGATCATCGCTTGCCATCTCTCGCATCTGGTTAACGAGGATTGGGGGAGTTATCAAGAAGGTGTCAAAAGGCGGTTGGCCCACGAAAAGTTCAAAGAGCTGCCATACCTATCAGTTCACTATTATGTTGCGTTGAGCGTCGAATAGTTTCACCTACCATACATCCCATGCTCCACAAGTCAACGCGATAGTCAATGTGGTCTTGAAATATAACTTCAGGTGCCCGAACAGGTAGAGGGGTGTGTAGTGTTTGAGGAACCGTTGTGCCTAAAAATGATCCTCCGAAGTCGACTATTTTGATGGACTGGGCCGAATTCCAAGAATGCATCCAATATGAGGTAGGCCTAACAATATACCTAGGAATACCCGGCTCTAGGTCTTTCCCGTCGCTCCTTCGGACATGGCCAATTTCTGGCTTTCTTAGCATTTCAGTAAACTGCTGTTCAGTTTCATTGTCGTAAGGTATGGTGAAGGCCAAATTGCGGGTATGTAGATCTATATTATATGAGAATGATTCGAAATATTCGTTACTAGGAGAGTGGAGTAGCTTACCTCCATGTGCAATGTTCATTTGATGCAAGTCATTAAGTCCGATAAGGCTTTGCTTGGCAATTATTTTGGCGAGCTTCCCAGGGAGTCTTCCGCCGGGAAAGTATGCATCAATTGTGTCCGGAATGTTAGGCCCCAAAAGCTCATATACCAGGCAATTGTGAGATCCATTTGGACCCTTCAGATCGAAGTCATCAAGTAGGTGCACTGTATGTTTTAGAGGTTGACGAAATGCCAACTTCTTCAGAATGTCCAGCTCCTGTCCAATATTGTACATTTCAGCAACATATATTTTGACAGCAACATAAACATCATCCCTGCAGACAGGTAACTTGTCGGTTAGCTAGAACTACTGTAAGGGGCATAATATTATACAACCTTAGATCTCTGGCCACCCACACTGTCGAGTAACCTCCCCATCCTAGTTTATGCAGCACTTTGTATCGTCCGGATTTCAGGCATTCTCCCAGAGTGACTGGGCGGTAGCCGCCCTGGCGGTAGCGATGAAGTGGCTCCGCATCAACCGGGGAAATACAAAGGGGGTGATTGATCTGAGTCTTCTCTGGGTGGGTAGATATGGACCTGGAGAAAATGTCAGATCGTGAGATGCTTCTAAAGGGGACAGCACGCCTCGATACTACCCAGGCAGTTGCCATGTAGAGGTGTCGAAGAATATTAATAGGTCGAGATTGTGATAGGATGTAAACAATGGCCAATCACATGATGTTGGGTGCCTTGGTGTCTGAGGCACATGGCCCCATATGGGACAGATCCACCTGGGCACTTTATGTGTTACATAACAGTAGTTAGTAAGCGGCACGTGCACGCTGCCCCTTCTTAGGCAGCGCGGACCCGCTGCCAATATGAACCATCTTGCCTTCCCTAGCTATCAGTGTAACATTATATAGTAGCTCGTCTCTCTCTCCTTCTCTCTTCTCTCTCTCCGTCCATCCGCACACAGACAGTATCCTACCGTGTTGTTTCTCCAATCTCAACCCCGTAGGATCTCTGCTACATGATCTGTATAAGGGATAAATTATGAGCCGGCACATGACATCTCGTTAACTCTCCCTTTCTGGTACTTCAACTACGGAGGTATCTTTGTCAATGCCGATTTAATTGAAAGGTTTACCTCACTGAGCGGACGATTTAGGTAATATTATAACTATTAAGCTGCATTTATCCAAATATAGATTCAGTCTTGTGGCTTTGCCTGCACCTCTGCCTCTGCCTTTGCAATTGCTCCCGGAGCAGCTGGCATTAGTGCGCCTGCAGGTGGCTCGTTCTTCCCTTTGAACTCATCGCACATTTGCTCAAATGTTACCCACTCCACTCCCTCGTGACTATTGATATATTCAATCAGTCTGCATATACTGTGTTAGTTTCACATTCGTCAACGGCGTTTGACTGTGTAAATTCCGAACATACCTCTCATGCATGAGCAAGGCATGAGGCCGACCAGAGACATCGGGATGAATTGTCATGGGGAAGACAAACTCATCATACTCTCGATAAAAATAGTCGAAGTGATCCTATATTAAGGCGATCCTTTCAGTGCGACCCCCCATAACCCGGAACGGAATAAATACCAACCTTCCAGATATCCTCAACATCCCGTGGATTAACCCATCCATGGCTATTCGCCGAATTCTTGATGAACATCATCGGCGGCAAATCATCAATATACCAACTACCAGGAATCTCCACAAGACCGGTAGTATTACCCTTGATAAGGGGCTTCATCCACGTCTCCGCCTTCTGCTTGTAATCAATTTTCGTCCACGTATCCCCAGTCCGAAGCCAGTACATCTGGCAATCCTCATGGGACATGGAATGATCATATTCAATTCCATAAGCGAGCAATAGCTCAACCATCTCCGCGCTGGCCTCCCACCACGGCGCGACAATCCCGCGCGGCGGCTTTCCGCAGAAGTCCGTCAACATCTTATATGTCTTGTCAAGGATGTCGCGTTGTTGCTCCGTGGACAGGTCGCATGGATTCTCGTGCGAGTAACCGTGTAATCCAATCTCGTGCCCGGCGTCCCGGACCATTGCACATTCTTCGGGGAAGGTATCGAGGGTGTGACCTGGGATGAACCATGTTGCTTTGATGTTGTATTTTTCGAAGAGTTTCAGCACGCGAGGTGTACCGACGTGTCCGGCCCAGAGACCTTTTTGAGAATTCCGTTAGTGTAATAGATATAATCTTGGAGACGGATTAGCTTGCCTCGACTGATGTCGTTTACGCTGTCCTCGCCTCCGTATGAGCCTAGCCAGCCAGCTACTGCGTCGATGTCAACGCCGTAGCCAACAAGAACGCGCTTTCTGCCCATGATTATGGTAATTGGGTATTTCTGGTGATGGGAGGCTTCAGTTTGAGTCTAGAAAATATAATTTCTTTGGGAGTTGGTTGGAATCAAGTCGGAAAGGTATTGTTGACGTAAATTTATAGTCCCCTCCAGAGCTACCCCCAACAATGCCAGACAAAGGTGGGGTGGTCCCTAAACACTTTGGATTGGATTTCAGGAATTGGAGATATGGATATTTGTCTACTGGATAGCTATTTATCTTGATCCCACTCATGATTGGCTCCAACTGCCATATCTGAGGCCGTCTTCTCTAGCTTGTGATCTTATCACTATTCGAATGCGACGTTCATACTCCCCGACACTGCCAGGTGGAATTATAACAAAGCGAATACAATGAATACAGCTAGGATGAGAGGACGGGTCTGTAATTACTACTTTGAGAGGTAATTGGAAACGAAGGAAGAGAGGCGAGTGGCCTATTTCTACCTAAGAGTCCTGTCTGAGACTGCGGTCTCAAAATACTTCGCCTAAGGTCACAACATATTCTCACGGATAACTTCAAAGCCGATGAAGATTGAAGATTTTAAGACATACTTGACTAGCTCACCATAAAATTTCTACAATCGGCGCTGGTTTCGATCCTTCAAAGTTTCCCTTTTATAAAACCCCGAGTTTCATCCGCCAGATGCGATGATCCTCCATATATTTGCTGCCGCAGTATAGCCGTGTTGACCTATTGACTTAGTGTTAGTATAATGAACAAAAAGCCATCACAGCAAGAGGGACACACGTGATGAGGCCTAAGGTCGCCCACTGTTTTCGCACCAAGAAGGCGCATGCATGTTTGCATCTCATCCGATAGAACTAATAAGATTTTTAGGTCAGCAACAATCAAGTCCATATTGTTGAAGAAAACGAACTTTGCAATGTCCTCTCGACTCCCTCGATCCCACCGGCAGCGAGACCCCAAAGAGCCGGCCTTCCTATTCCAACAGCCTTAGCCCCAAGGCATAGCGCCTTGACAGCATCTGTACCGCGACGAATCCCCCCGTCAACCCACACTTCTACCCTATCAAACACACCCGGGCAATATTTTCGAAGCTCAAGAAGAGTATGCACAGCAGGAGGCGCCGTATCAAGTGATCTCCCACCATGGTTCGACAACACAATTCCCTTCACTAAAGGTGCATATTGAGCCGCTAGAATGGCGTCCTCGTGTGTCTGGATCCCCTTCAGTACAATTGGTTTGGTTGTATGCTGCGATAACCACTCAAGTGTATCCGCCCAAGTGAGCGATGGATCTGTCCCAGCAAAGAGCTGGGTGCTGACACTTTTCGCTATATTGGCTTGGATGTTGATCCGCTCATCGTCTTCCCGCTTGCCCGATACCGGTGCGTCAAGTGTCAATACGATGAACTTGATGCGATCCAATCGATTAGCACGCGCCAACATACTTTCGCTCAATTGTCTGTTCAGCTGGACATAAAGCTGCCATCCGAATATCTGTGTTGAGGGGGCGTCTGCGACAATTTCCTCTGCGGACAGTGAAGAGTTGTTTGCGATGATTTGAAGACACCCGAAAGAGCGACAACCTTCCGCGATCCCCTTCTCTCCTGAAGGGTGTCCCAGACGAGCCATTGCAGTTGGACTGACGAAGATCGGCAAGCCGACTTTGTGGCCTAGGAGGTCGGTTTCCAAGTCACAGCTGCGGCAGTTAACAAATACCCGTGGTCGGAACAAAATTGAACGATAGGCTTGCGTGTTGAGATGCTTTGATATCTTGTCGTCGGCAGCGGAAAAGTAGTACCCCCATGCCTTTTTGCTGATGACTTTGGTGGCTGCATCCTCTATCTTCTCTAGGTTCAGCAATGTGCTTAATGGCGCTTGGGTGATCTCTTCGGGTGTAGAATCGGCAATTGGCTGTTCTTGTGGCTCGACCGTGCCCAGATATGAGTCCTCGATTTCTTTCAAAGTCTCAGGAGGATGGATCATATTGAACTCCTCGGTGGCATCTCGTCCTCCCCAATGGATGATTGCTTGTACTCCACCAGGATGGCTGTCCAGGATGCTCGTAACCTCATGGAAGTTAGTTAATTTGAATTTGTGGAGGAAAAGTTCGAAATATCTCACATCATACACCTTTCCATAAAGTATGACCCAACAACTATCCTCAGTCTTGTGTTCAGAAACTGGGAAGGTTAGTTCAATGGCCCCTACACCCGATGTCCCTGATCTGGTAACAATAACTAACCTTCAGAAAGAGTAAACATCGTGACTTAATTGATTAGTTTAGATCGAAGCAATCGATGGTTTCTGTATGTAAATAGGCGTGATGTAAATTCCTATAGAAAAACTTTGCCTAGCCTTTCACTCCCATGATCGCATGCCCCCACCCTCAAAAGAGCCCTTTGAGATCGATACTGTAATATATTCCAATATTAATTGGATTGTTAGTCAATAGTAGTAAGCTATGGTGATGTATACTCTAGGCAAGGATCGGAGCTCTTATCTCCCAGTTGAATTAGGAGCACCCCCATCTTTAACCAGCCTACATACTTCGGTGTGGATACCTGTAATACTGCTCAAAGCCGTTTAATTATTTAATGAGTTTATTTTAGGTACTTGGGAATTTTGGGATATTCTTATTGGACGATTAACTTAACGGGGCGTTTGAGATCTATAAGTGTGGAGGATTTGATATTCCATGTATGGTATGACTTTAGGGACAATGGAATAGTGTATTGATACATTCCAACCACAAGTCCACAACGGACTAAATAGGATTGTAGTATAACCATCTGGCAAAATTCCAATATATGATGGCACACACAAAGTTGCCAAGGATCTCCTCGGCCTGTCCATTACAGCGCATCGTGCCCATGTGTCTCAAAGGGCAATCCTAGACACAACACGCCAACAACAATCCACAATGCCGCACTCGTATAGATTGGCGCTGTAGTGAACCCAGTCTGTGATGAGATAATACTAGCAACGAGTCCTCCAAATCGAAGAAGGGCAGCCGCTGTTCCAGAACCTGTGCCACGATGAGGAGCTGGGAATGATTCCGGAGTGAACGCGTACATGATAGCGTATTCTGTGGAACTGGTTAGCTATGAAGTTAGACATTAGGTTCCATAATATCTCACCGAAATTGGCTAGAAGGCTGGTAATGCAAGAAAATGCCAAGTCAGCCGATGGAGTCTTCACGCCAACATATGCGAAGAGGAACACGCCCGTGACAACGGCTGAACCTCCCATCATCCATCTTCTGCCCATGCGAGTATTTACCGATACTGCGGCAGATAATGGTCCGACAATTCCGACGGCTGATGTGATACAGTAGTTCCGATATGTTAGCGAGAGAGAAGATGTTTCTGTGAATTTGGTGGCCAGGTAGGATGGCAAGAAGGCGAAGAACAGGGGATACGCAATTCCTAAATATGAATGTTAGTAGTCATATCACAGGGATAATTGATACCTTCCCACTTGCCGACTGTCAACCATATGGCCCAGATGATCAATGTCTGTCTTCCGAGCTTTCTTGTTGCAAATAGTGCACGGTAGTGCTCTCCGGTAAACGCTTGCATGTTCTCTTTCGCGATTTCCTTCGTTGTCATTCGCTTCGACTCTCCCTCTTCACTAGGCATGTTTCCAAATCGAGCATCGATTACTTGGAGCATCTGAAGTGTCAATGGTTCCGGTTTGCCATTTTGCCTAGCAACGTGATTGATGGCGTTGACCGCATCCTGGTCTTTTCCCTGGGAGAGGAGATACCGGGGGGTTTCGGGTAGTTTGAAAACGAAAATGCGAACAAAGGTAAATGTGAGGGCTAAACTACCTAGAGTGATGAGTGTATATCTCCTAGTGGTTAGCCGTTAGTGAGGAAATGTGTCGTGGATCTTATGCCACTTACCATCCCATGTTCTGACTCCGTGAACATGTTTCAGGGGTGGCGTCGGTTGGACAACTGAAGTGGGCTAAGAATACCCAAGCAATCAAGGACACAATCAGTTGGCTCAGATTCCACCATGCCGAGAGAGCCGTGAGAAGATATTGATGACTGGGAGTATTTGAATTAGCGACCGTGCAGAGTGATACGGTCAACCCAAACATTCTCACCTTCCTGGGACGAATTCTAGGAATATCATGGAGTCAACAGGAACATTTCCCCCAGCGGCAGTTCCAATCACAGCCCAAAGTGCACTGAATGCAATGAAATTCATCGACCCAGCAGCGGCACAGAGGAAGATACCAGCGATGAGTAGCGTAGAATTGAACGCTGGTTTGCGTCCGATGAGATCGCTTGACAGACCCCAGAACGAGGCACCCAGAATCAATCCTACATAATACGCAACCGAACTGTAGCTGACTTGCACAATGCCGGAGAACTCTTGCTTAATAGGGGGCTGGACGCTTCCGATGCCTTGAGAAGCAAACTATCGAGATACATGTTAGGGAAAGGGGGGTGTCAAGAGATAAAGGAGTGATATTGCATACATTATCGACTATCCATCCGAAACCCGTCACCACGAACAGTTTCCATTGAAACCTGGTAGTATTATGTCAATATCTAAATGCCTCAAAGCAGTGCTCAAGATGTGAGAGGTGTCAATACCAGCCCATGCCGATTTCTTCCATGCATTTTCCAACCAACTCGGACTTCAAACGGTATGCCTTCGTGGTTGAGGATCCGTAGAAATCTTCAACCTCATAATCATCAATAGTCGTCAATTTAGCAACTTCATAGTCAGGAGTACCGCTCTCCGCCGGCTGACTCTGCTTCTTGTCGGATTGAATTTCGTTCATCTTGCAAGATAATTCAGTGAGGAATTCCTTGCATTCATTGCAGGCAGATCAGTGTCATATGTCGTTGTCTTTTCGGGCTACGATGTGCCTCCCAATCCGATGATCTTGTCTGATAGTCGGTATAGTTCAGATTGATACGGATGAATCCGGTGACCAAGAGTGGAGAGGAAATAATGCCATCCCACCCTTGGGATCCGGGGATGCCTTGGATCGGATATCACAACAGCTTCGACCAGGCCGAGACTTACTTTGTGGCGTTACTGCACTTGGCGCTTGTCAACCGATTAAGGTAACAATAAGACATCACTATTCAGTTATTTTCATGTTGCGTGATGGAGACTATGCAAGTACTGAATTGACCTTATTCGGGATTGGTTCTGTGGTTCAATTTTCTTCAGGACGGGACATAAAATACGTAGAAGGATCTCAATGAAGTTCACTATTAACACTAAGCACCAACCGCAGCGACAGCAGGAATAACGTCTGCTTCCTTTACGTCCAAATCCTTCTTGAATGCCTCAGCGCGACCGTAGCTCTCCTTGTAAGACGCCGTAACCATATCTTGCACAGTAATAGGACCGTATTTGGCAGGTTCACCCTCTTCGCGACAGTTAGGCAAGCACTCGCAGATATAATCCGGGTTTCCGCTGAAGAAGAACGGAATAGAGTATCTCTCTCGGCCGGATTTGTTTATCACACGATGGGTATTCGATTTATATTTGTCGTTCGCCATGCGCATGAAGAGGTTACCCAAATTCACCACATAGGCTCCCGGAACGGGCTTGACCTATAGATCTCTGTCAGAGTCAAGGTTAAGAACATATTTGAGTTGAAACTCACATCTAGCCATTGTCCAGATGGTCCGTCTAGTACTTGCAGCCCATCGACCTCGTCCTGAAGAAGGAGAGTGATGCAGCCAAAGTCAGTATGCGCTCCAATTCCCCGGTTCAATTTCTCGTCGGTATCCTGGGGCTGCGCCGGATAGTGTAGGTATCGCATTGTCGCGACAGCTCCGTCTGTGAGAGGATCGAAGAAGGTTGATTCAACTCCCAATGTTTGAGCCAGCACTCCCAAAACATCCTTTGCAAGATCGAATGTAGCGCGATAGTATTCCATAGTTGTTTCTTGGAATTCCTCCTTGTTGGGAACGGTAGGTGGCCATTGGTTGGGGCCACTGTTTAACTTCTTCTCCAAATAGTAGGGATGATCTTCGGGGATTTCTTCACCGATGTACAAGCCTTCTTTCAGCTCGGGACCGGTGCCCACTTCTAACATTTGCGATCGCAGGAGTTCGTAGCCTCTGTTGAATGTAGTTAGGTCTATTCGGTTAGCAGAATTCGCGATGAGTAGGTAAGAATCTTACTCTTGTCAACTTTCAACTTCTCTTCCAGCGGGAGATCGAAGAAGCGCCTAGAGCAATCCATGACGCGGCGCTGCAAGTCCAGCGGGACGCGGTGGCCGGTGATCTGGAAAAAGCCGTTGTAATGGCAACATTTGCGAATGTCTTCGATCAACTTGCTTTTCGCGTCGCTATCCTTTCCGTAGAATGGAGAGAAATCCAAGATGGGCGGAGCTGCGGGTAGAGACATTTTGGTGAATACACTGGTGAGCTGTGCTTGTGTTTGCTTGTACAGATCGACTTGCATTCAATATATTTCCTTGGAATTCAAAAAAGAGTCACCCCCAAGACTCTTTACCATCGCAGAGAAGTCCGACGTCTCAACTCCAGGTAGTTCAGCTAATCCTGCTCGAGCTGGAGTTCTAGCATTTGCCTTGAAGGATGGAGGTAGGGGCAGGGATGCACCAAGAATGGGGGTCAACGGTTGATTAGGCTGCGATAAGGGCCCGTAGGCGTGCGGGGAAAACATGGGGATAACAAAGAACAAAAGTACAATTTATATCCTATCTGGAGGACATGGCAGATATGGGATTGGTCATACTTGGACATGGCTTGTTGTACTGTTGTACTACGGCTGTGAACGTGAACGTCAAGGGGTTGGAATGCTATACGAGATGTTGCTCAGTATAAGAACCCGGTCAATTGACATTCGCGCTATATACTTAGAAATGAGCAGTTCAAAACTCAATAATAATGTCTGAATTAAAGTCCACCACAGTGGCCAAGATGCCCGATGCTGAATCAAACGTCGGCGAAAGCACTACGTATACAGATTACAAGGCCGAGAGGTCCTATGTTAGGAAGATTGATTTCATTGTGCTTCCAACGCTATGCTTGGTGAGTTCTCAAACATCATGGACCCGGGTATATGAAATACTTGCTAACTTCGAGGCTTGTTTGATCGCGCAGATGTACTTTTTTGACTGCATGGATCGGGTAAGTGCCTAAACGAAAGCATTATCTTTTCGAAACGTCCTAATTATTATCCCAGAGCAATTTGGCAAATGCAAAGACAGATGGCCTTGAAAAGGACTTGAATCTAAAGGGCAATGACTATTCTCTATTAATCCTCCTGTTCTATATCCCCTTTGGTTTGTTCGATCTGCCATGGAATATTTTGATAAAGATATTTTCAGGAAGGATTATGCTGTCTATTAGTGAGATTTTTAACCCCCTTTCACGATCCTGATAGGATTCGCTGACATATATATGAAATGAAAGTGTCTATTGCGTGGGGAGTTCTAGCGCTCTGCCAATGCGCCGCTAAAGACTTTGGTTCTCTACTTGCAATTCGCATCATATTAGGTGTTTTTGAAGCCGGTTTCTTTGCAGGAGCTACGTTTTACCTCACCTTGTTCTATACGCGCGGAGAAATGGGATTCCGCCTGGCTATCATGCAGTCATTTGCAGTTCTGGCGTCTGCCTTTAGTGGGCTTATCTCCTTTGGGGCATTCCAGATAAATGATCCGGCAGTCAAAGGGTGGCAGTGGCTATTTATTATTGAAGGATCAATGACACTAGTCACCGGAGTTGTGGCATTCTTCCTACTACCAGACGGGGCACACAAAGCCTGGTTTTTGAGTGACAGAGAGAGGGCAGCAGCGACGGCACGTCAGCTTCGGGATACTTCGTCGGAGGTGGATACCCCATTTGATCTCAAGTCTGCCTTTGAGTCTTGGAGCGACTGGAAATTCCCAGTATGGTGTTTGATTACGTTCACATACCCTGTTGCCTATGCCACTGCAATGAATTTCTTCCCGTTGGTGAGTACGAAAACCCATATTGTCGAATGTTGGCTGACAATAGCAGATTGTTCAACGATTGGGATACTCTGTCATTAAGACTAATATCTGGACGGTGGCACCTAATCTCGTCGGCGCAGTATTCCTGCTATGCGTGGCCAAGTCATCGGACTATTTCCGCGAAAGAACGCTCCATATTGTCTTTTCTTTGGCGGTATCATTGGTCGGAATGGTTATATTAATCGCCATTGACGTTCAGAACAACAAGGGGGTAGCATACTTTGCTTGTTTCCTAATGGCAGCAGGATCATATATTCCGTCTTGTCTCGTCCACGCATGGCACAACAACAACAACGTACACGAGAACTCGCGAGCTGCCAATACGGGCTTCTTTGTGGGACTGGGAAATTTCGCTGGAGTACTGAGCGCCGGTACATTCCGAACTCAATATGCACCAAAGTGAGAAACTCCGCTTCACTATGAATAGCCATCGCTAACTGAATAGGTATCTCCCGACTCTCATCGCGACTTGCTGTTGCAATGCAGTTTGCATTTTCCTTGTTCTCGGATTGGGAGGCTGGATGCGGATGGAGAATCATCGCCGAGACAGCAAACAAGGACTAAGACTGAGAGAGAATCAGACTGATACTAGTCAGTTCAAGGAGGGAGAAAAGAGTCCAGAGTGGAGATACTTCCCTTGACATTTTTGGATTGGCGATAACATTGCAAACTATCCCTAGCTGAGAGAAATCCGTCTTTCGACATAATTTTGTTGTACTTTAACCAGGCGTACTTCGTCCATCTTAGGTTATTATATATCGCAGTTCTCTGTGTGTTTATACCTTTTAACGGATCCGTATGTTGTACATATTAGAGTGAGAAGCCCGACATACTATGGTTCTCGTTTCTGCCTGTACCTCTGTAGCTAATTGTTACCTTTTTACTTCAACACACCAGGATATAACCAAACAGATAAATCAGATTACAAAGTCCTGCATCATCAAGAACAGAGGCTGAGATGCGGCCAATTACCGTTGTCTGATCAAGTTTAATTGTTGATGCCATGAGATTCATACTACATATAGCGTCTTACAATGACCCCAGGGATATCTGGATAACACCCACAACCTCCGCGATGCCCCGGCCCTAGTGGCAAATCCAGGAGCTCTAAGTGGCGGACACATTCATTGGCACTAAATACTCTCGATAAGAGCCTTTCATATCTTATTAAAATCATACCAATCAGCCATTAGTGTGATGCCGTCCCCGCATTCTTATCAGTAGACATCGGGGTTTACTCCGATGAAATTATTGGCAAAAAGAAACATTGAAGTAGGTAGCAAGACCTCGTTTCGCACATTGGCAAATTAACCATGAAAAATCAGGAAAAGTACCCCTGTCAACACCTAGGTTGCACTAAGAGCTTCACACGTGCAGAACACCTGCGTCGCCATGCGCTCAATCACGAGCAGGCTCGAAATGGGTATACCTGCGAGCGTTGCTCTGTTCACTTTCAACGCTCAGATTTGCTAGGTAAGGGCAGTTAGCTTTAGTGGTTAACCAGGTGCTGATATGTGTTCAGCGCGACATATGGAGCGACACGAGAAACGTGATCTTGAAGCTGGAGGGCCTGGGCAGGGTACTTTGAAGACCAGAAAGAGGACCCGAAGAGCTGAGGATGGTTCTATTATTGTTCGTCCTTCGCAGCGACAACTGAGGGCTTCGGCTGTAACTCGATCCCCTATCTCAGCAAATAGTCCCAGCCAGGAACCAGAATTGCGAGAGGAGGAAGAGTATTCCCACGATGGTGTCCCCTTGTCACCACCTGGCTCGGGAACTGATCCAACTTCAATTTCTATGGATGATACAGATCCTTTCCTGGCTTCCTTGGTGTCAGCTGGACCTTTTGAGCAATATGTTGAGCCGATGCCTGGACAGTTCGATGCAGCGGATGGGTCTTTTGGTGTTGAGTTAGATGGGATAGGGGACTATTTTGGAATGGACACAGGTATGCATGACTCCAAGTGGTCGCTCATAGGTCGTATACTAATTGCAGCAGCAACCGACTTCAACCTCCCATTTGCAGCAACTTCAAACTACAATTGGCTGTTCGATGTTTCCTCGCTCGATGATGCTTTCCATCAATTCAACCTCCCTCTCGGGTTCGACACAGCCCCCATTTTGGAACAACTCGATTCGAATCCTGCAGAAGTAACGGAAAAATACGATGGTCCATCAGCTTTGCTCATGGCGTCAATCATCGACAGAGGGGAAACATTTGGAGAAACAAACTCCCCCCCAGTACCCAGTCTCCCAGACCTGGACTGGATGCCTGGTGCGGCGACATTAGACCAAAACACTCGATCAAATCTACCGATAATATCCGAAGAAGCGCGGAAGGGGATTCTAGCCATAGTGGCACACGCACATCCGACAGGTATCGATGGACACCCCATGGTACTCGACTCGCCTCTATTGACCCTCCCTGCGCTTCAGTCATACTGCGATATGTTCTTCGATCGGTTCAACACGACCTACCCTCTGATCCACCAGCATACATTTGATCCCAGTGCCGCGCCACCAGTTTTCCTCGCATCGATTCTCTTTATGGGTGCGACATACGGCTCGCGTGAGGCGCATCAATTAGCAGTGGAGGTCCACGATGTCCTACGAAGCCAGCTACTCTGCCACCCGGATTTCTCGCCACAAGCTGACCTATGGGTCCTGCAGACCATGCTTCTGATAGACTGTTTTGGCAAGATGCGAGCTGGACCAAAGCAGCGCGAGCGCGCACAGTTGTTCCACTGCGTACTTATCAAAATGATCAGGCGTAGCAACTGCTGTGGTATACGCGACTTGTCTAACCTAAATCAGTCGGGGGATTTGGATCAACTCTGGCGACAAGCTATGGTGGAAGAGCAGCGTAAGAGGGTAGCCATACATTGCTTCATGTGGGATACGCAGCACGCAGTGCTATTCTCCCAATCGCTGTGTATGTCTGCGTTCGAGATCAGATCTTCATTACCCTGTGGTCCTGCAGTTTGGGATGCCGCTTCCGCTCGAGAGTGGTCGCAACACGCCTTCCAAGAAGAGAATCGCCCCTTCCTCACTGTTCTCAAAGGATACATTACACCGACGGCTGTTGCGAGACCTCGCGATCTGAATGTGTTTGCTCGGATCGTCCTGCTACACGGATTAATGTCTGTGTCTGCGGATCTGAAACGTCGCGATCAAACAACCCTACGGTCCGAGACCCCGGAGCGCGTCGGAGCTTGGACGCCGCGCATGGGTCGGTCCTATGATCTGTGGAAAGTAGACTTCGATGCCGATTGTCTTGCTATTAAACTCGCTCAAACTGCTAGTCCTCGGCAATTCACTGGGCTCAAGATCTCCGGGTATGCCCTTTACCATGCCGCGTATCTGGCGTTGAATGTCGAGGTTCTCGATTTGCAGATCGTCGCTGGGGCGTGCCAGATCCTGGGGCGTACAGTGACCGAAGCTGATCAGGCACGTTCGCTGCGGAATATTACCAGATGGCTTCAGGAAGAATCCGGACCATCCTGTACGGCTGCGCGACAAGCGGCATCTTTACTCCAAGATGCTGTGTTGAGTCTTCATGACTGGGACCAGGCTGATTCCTTCCACTTCCCTTGGTGTTTGTATCTCTGCACCTTGGCCTGCTGGGTTTTCCATCGTGGGCCCAATCTCACCTCGGAAGAGAACCGGGTCAACACCGATCTATCTTCGTTGATCGTGATGCTAACCAATTGTCCTAGTTTACCGGAGCTAGCAGTGTTATCTGGGAAATACTGTCCTCGTCCTCTTGCAGCGTCTATGGCTAAACAACTAGCGACAGTTCGATGGGCCGTTGTTCACGATGCTATGAAAGTTTTGATGAGATTGTCATGATAGTCTTTGCATTTGATAGTCAATATGTAGTTTATCCAATCCGACATGTTGATCTGAACCAGTGCCCTCTATATATTTCTATATCTATTTGGTATAGAAAGCATAATCAGTATAACCCTTCTCAGCGGGATCAGCACCATAGAATGTCGTACGATCGTAAGGAGTCAAGGGCAAACCCTCCTTCAACCGACGTGGCAGGTCAGGGTTCGAGATGAAATAACGACCAAACACGACAGCATCCGCTCCATCAGCTGCAAGCTTAGAACCCGCATTTTCAGAATTGAAGGTTCCAGCTGCCGGAAGAGAGATGCCTGACTTTTTCAGCGTCAGGCGGAACACATCCAGTGAAGGCTTATCCGAGGCCAGGGAGTCAATCTTGGCCGCTTCATCCATAACCTCGTCGAAGCGAGGCTCGACCATGTGCACGTATGCGGGCCGCGATTCCTCGGGAAGTCCGGCAATAAACGAACACAGCGCGAGCCAGTTGGCATTTGGGTTTGAATCCCGTGTGTCCTGGAAATAATTGTAGGGCGACAACCTGATGCCGACGCGGTCGGCTCCTATTTCGGCACTGACTGCTTTGAGGACTTCGAGGATGATGCGAGATCGCTTTTCGATGCTGCCACCATATTTGTCGGTGCGGGTGTTGACATTGTCGTGGAGGAATTGGTCAAGAAGATATCCATTGGCACCTGGTTTGTTAGTTATAGCACATGAATGATACCGGGAGGATTCATACCGTGAACCTCAACACCATCGAATCCGGCCTCACGGGCTCGCTTTGCTGCACCAACATACTCCTTCACTGTATCTTGGATTTCTTCAATAGTCATGGCACGGGGTGGTGAAGCAGCGTACTCAGACCCATCAAGTGCGTTTCCGCTGATTGGGATCTCACTGGCTCCAAGAACTTCCTTTCCTTCAATGAAGGAGGAAACAGTGGCGCGACCAACATGCCACAGCTGACAGTATATATAGCCACCCTTAACATGCACAGCATCGGTAACCTTCTTCCAGCCAGCGATCTGCGAGGAAGTAAAGATACCAGGGACACCTGGGTATCCCGCAGCCTGGGAATGTTAGTTTCATGAATCAATTAGAACTAGTCAAACCGATGAAGGCAACATACATGTCTGCTAATCGGAGTAGCTTCGGTCAACATAAACCCTCCCTCTGAAGCCCGCTGCGAGTAGTACTCGACATTAAGCTCATTGGGAACATAAACACCCTCAGACTCCTTTCCCGCTCTCATACGCGTCAGGGGTGCCAAAATAACGCGGTGCTTAAGAGTGAGAGCGCCCAGACGGAGAGACTCGAACAAGGGATCGTTGACTGCGATTGAACCCATTTTGCAAGTATATATTGATTTTGTGATTCGCCCATTTTGGCTTTGGCTAAAGTGAAATATATAGCTTGGAGGGGTAACAGTAGGTATATGGGTATGCCATTTTTGGCATTTCCATTCTTAACTTTTCCATTGAAGGTGGGATCGTTAATTTGCTCGAATAGTGGGATGAGGGTTGAAGGCTGGTGATCGGCAATCAAGGAAGTAGATTAACCCCCACTATGGGATGAGCTCCCCCACCCTCGAACATATGTCTCCACCTCCCTTTTGGGATGGAGATCTTGTTGATTGTGAGAAACCCGGGGTTTAGGGGATCAGATTGCTAATTGCTCTCTGTGGACTTATCATGTTTATAGTATCGATATCAAATATGGGCATACAAGTTAGCATTTGGCATTTATAAGACATCTGCATGAAGAACAGTATCCTAAAATCATTATAGTACATATTATACCACTACAGGAATATGAGTAGGAATGATGCTCTAATTTGAACCGTATTATGAGAAGAAACAAATCCGCAAGAACAGAAAGAAGAGTCGGGTTGAAAAGAAGACCATGTCATCTTGCATATTGAAGTTAGAGAAAGCAATTGCATTTCTAAAAAGCACATTCGACAAAGTATCTTAACGAAAAATTACACCATGAAAGAGAAATAATCCTGCAACCATTGCCCAATGACACCCACTTGTTCGGCCCCCCAAGTATCAATAGCTCCAACATATCTATCGGGCCTGACAACAGCGATCCCAATCTTTTCCCAGTTTAAATCTCCAAACCACTTCTCCGTACAACTTGGCCCTCCAATATTGTCGACATACAAAATCCAGCGACTAGTCTGCAGTATCCCCGGAAGATCAGCAATCTCAAAGTCAGACTGAGCAGACTGCGTGACCAGCGCAAAAGTAAAAGCATCGGAGACCGCCGTATAACGCTGAGCCTGAACAAATTCATCTGAGGGAGAATGTCCCCGTGGATGCTTTGCATATGACTGATTTGCTGTCACACTGACACTAGCAAGAATAGACTGGAACTGTTGACAGATATTGCCCAGCGATGCCTGCGAGCGAGAAACATCCGGCGCGAAAATATAAATCTTGAATTGACCCAACAGCGGGACATCCAGTTGAATATCGACCGGGTTAGAATCGATATAGCGGGTGACTTTAGCTGGAAGTTGGAGCATTCCAGGTTGTAGGCGCGATGTGGTGGCTGGTGCTTGTGTCAACATTCCGGGGGCATATTCGGCTCCTACACCGGATATGAATCGAATGTTGTCGTCGAAGTTCTTGGCTAGTTTTACGTCGCCTGCCGCGAAGGCTTTGCAGTGTTCCACGTCGAAGTTAATGAGGTCGTATGCTATCTTTTGTCTTTCTTCTTCGTAGGTCTGCAGAAAGGCTTGTTTGGCCAGTCCTCGGACTAAGAGGTTGAGCTTCCATGCGAGGTTGAAGCTGTCGTGCATACTTGTGTTGGCACCTTGGGCTGCGAGAGCGGAGTGACAGTGGCCGGCCTATATATTTATTAGATTATGGGCGATATAAGCTTGAAATGAAGTTCGACATACATCACCGGCAATGAATATCTGCGCTTCCGAGTCCATGAAGCGTTTCGCAACCCGTTGACCCACAACATATGTTCCGAACCACTCCACTGTTTTCCATTCTAGGTTGAATGGATGCATTGCCTCTCTGGCACGGCTCATGACATATTCAGTGGTGGCTTTTGATTTTTCTACTCGCTCCCCGTCGGTGGAAGTCAACTCAACGTATAGTCGAGTCATGCCTCTTTCACGCGGAATCCACAAGATCGAACCCGCTAAATCAGACCGTAACGCGACTTTGCTCCATAGATCAGGGAAGTCGGTATCGATCACGCCTACATTATTAGCCAGAGCTCCTATCGACAGATCGGACACACATACCATCTAACACTCCCCATGCAGCGTTTGTTAATTCTCCCTCAAGCTCAGCATCCGGAATGAACGATCTGACTGTAGATCGAGCTCCATCGCATCCAACCAGGTAATCCGCTCTGATCTTGCAAGGAGTATTTGTAGTAAGATCCTCATACAAAATATCCAATTGTGTCGTTCCATCCACACGCGCGCAAGATACGAACTTGCTATTGCGAGTGACGAACACCCCCCGTGCCTCCATATCATCGATCATGACCTCTTCAACCATTCCTTGGTGGGCTAGCAAGATATACGGATCGGAGGCACCGACATGCTCGGGGTAGTGGGCTTTACGACCAGTGCGTTTGAGAGATTCGTTGGCGGTTGATTCCTGGCATTTTGTTAGCATGATCCAACACCAGCAATTCATTCGAAACAAATTGTACCCAGAAAGCAATATCGTAAACGCGAGCTCCATTCTTCAGTAATGGATCTGCCAAACCGAGTTGTCTGAATGTCTCGATGGTCTTAGGTTGCATTCCATCCGCCTTACCTGTGGATGTTTTGTCGGGACGATCGTCAAGAATCACCACAGCGATTCCAAAGCGAACAAGATTACATCTTCCCGGCTGTTAGTATCGGCTCTAATTGAAGGAGGAATTTGACATACGCTAGCATCAATCCCGAAGGTCCTGCACCCACCACCACAACGGTAGTGGTAGCATCGACAGGGCTAATTCTGTATCCTTCGTGGTCTGCACTTGGTGACATTATTGGGATTCAATTTGTTGATTGACTTGATGGTTTTCTTGCTTCATTTCTATCATCTCTATTTATTCAAATTGTTCAAATCAATGCGGGGGAAACCCCCACTCTTCACAGATGTTTATCACCACCGTGTCACCCCACCGTCCACAACAATGTCCGACCCGGTCATGTACGCACTCGCATCACTTGCGAGGAATACACACGCCCCCATGATATCTTCCGGTTCGGCAATTCGACCGTTCATGGCTTCGGACTTCCAGCCGTCAAGGAGATGGGGGAACTGGCCATTAGCGGATATCAGAGTACCTTGCTTGGGGTGGGAACTTACTGAAGCCGTCATCTCTGTCTTTACAAATCCCGGAGAGATGGAATTGACTCGAATACCCTGTCGTACTAAGTTAATGATAGATCTTGGAAGTTGGTTTGCGATCAACTCACATATTCGGCCACCTCTTTTGCGATCGCAGGACACATCGATCTAACCGCGCCTTTCGTGCCACAATAGGCGGAACATAGCTGGCTGCGTACAGCGATATGGCTTGCCATACTGGCTACTAAAATAATGCTGCCGTGTTTTGTCTTGTTCGTAATCATCTGCTTAGCTGCGAGCTGGGCAGTGAAGTAAAGACCGAGTACGTTGATAGATAGTAGATCCTGATAATCCTTGTAGGTAAATTCGAGGAATGGGATATGGCGATTAATACCGGCGCATGGAACGCATATGTCAAGAGCATTGTAAAAATCTTTCTGGAAGTTGGCGAAGCCTTCTTCCAACGATTCCTGGGATGAGACGTCGACCCTGCTGTTGTTAGTGATTGAAACCGAAAATGAATATGATTGAATTTACCCACTTGTAATACACAGTCCGGACACCACATTCCTTCTCAATTGAATGGTATCCTTCCTCAGGTGGGACGACATCAAAGACAGCTACATCAGCGCCAGCCTCGGCCAGTCCCCGCGCAAAGGCCAGCCCGCAACCCCGAGCACCACCCGTTACCAGTGCCGTGCGCCCTTTCAAAGAAAACTTGCTCGGTCAGCTCGGGTTTTCAAGAGGAAAGTGGGAGCACTCACTCTCGACATATAGAAGTGTAGTTAGCTGGATACCTCTTTTCTGCGTAGTGAGGCCCTTTCCCCTCAGACATTCCGGCCTTTTAAGCTATCGGATAGCGGCATACCCAGACTAAGCTAACCCCCATCTTTGCCCATAGTTGGAGTAGAGTCGAGTAAAGATAGAGGGACCATATCTATCATAAGTACTCCTGTACCACAGGATATCGGACGGTTTTCAAGAATCGAAACATCCCTCATCTGGGTTCCGTTACACACCCATCACAATGGCCCCTCAAATCCACATCAAAAAGCAAGATGCCCGCTCCCCGTCATGCCAGCTAAAGGTCGTCATCGTCGGCGCAGGCCTTGCAGGTCTTGGGTCTGCGATCAGTTGTACGCTAGCTGGACATGAAGTGCAGATCCTAGAAGCAACACGGGAAATCAAAGAGGTCGGCGCGGGTATCCAGATTCTACCCAACAGCTCGCGTATACTGCAACATTGGGGTCTTGAAAGGGCTCTGATGCCACACATGGCATTTCCTCGGGTTTGCAACTTCCTTGGATGGAAGGGCAATCATATTTCATCCTTGGACTTCCACGCATCGGAGAGTAACTACCCGGGAACTTGGTATCGTGACTTCCATTGTGCGGACTTACAACAATGTCTGGTTGAGAGAGCGATCGAGTTGGGCGTTAATATTACCTGCAATGCTCGTGTGGTGGACGTGACCGTGAGCGAAGATGGGACCACGGCTACTGCCACCGCGGCGGATGGGAGGCAATGGATTGGAGATCTGGTCATTGGTGCAGATGGAGTGTTTGGAAAATTGACGGAGGAATTATTGGGTAGGGACGACCCTCCGGTGAAGACTGGAGATCTCGCATACCGCTTGCTGTTGTCAACGGAGGAGATGCGGAAGGATCCTGATCTTGCGGAATTGGTGACAGATCCCCAGGTCAACTACTGGTTGGGACCGGATGCTCACGCAGGTATGGTTTTTTCTTCATCCCATGGGTCCATTGCTAATTCTTCAGTGAATTATGTACTTCGAGGCGGAGAGTTGTTCAACATGGTACTACTAGTACCCGACGATATCCCAGAGGAATCTTTGGCATCGACCATTGAAGGAAATGTGGAAGAGATGTGTGCTTTGTTCAAGGACTGGGATCTTCGGTACATTCTATACTTTCCTTCAATCGCGGGTATATACTGACCACCACAGGATTCCCAAACTCTTAAAGCTCTGTGAGTCTGTTCAGAAATGGCGACTTTGTATCAGATTCGGAGACTTTGATTGGACGCACCCCTCCGGGGCGTTTGTGATGCTGGGCGATGCAGTGCACGCTACATTGCCGTATTTGGCCTCTGGGTATGATTCCCTTCGTTATTCAATTCTACATCGCTAATTGTCGTAGTGCTGGAATGTCCTTCGAAGATGGAGCAGTTCTAGGCGAATGCCTCTCTCGACTCCCGAATAGCTCCAACATCTCCAAGACCTCAGCCGAGTTCCTGACTGCTAAGCAACAAGCCCTTGCTATCTTCCAAGAGTGTCGCAAGCAGCGAACGAAGATGCTTGTCGAGAGGGGAAATATCCAACAATATCTCTATCACCTCCATGACGGCACTGAACAGCAAGAAAGAGATCGCAAGATGCAGATGGTTCCCACGCCCGAGGGAGAAGCACTGGCATGGCGAGATCCCGGTCTGGCACCTAAATTGCTGGGATATGACCACATCGCGGACGTATGTATTCCTTTCTCTGGCTCCGGACTTCACTAACTGTACTCAGGTTGATCGTCGGTGGGGTAAATCAATAGGAACTAGCGTTGTTGAGTCGAGACTATAGCTATTTGAAATTGCCCATTCTAGCTCTTTCAAAGTCAGTACAGTATACGCAGCGGAAGATATATAATCTGCAGATCCTAATGTACTAGTTCGATTTTGACTCATACCTCTAAGGATTTCTGGTTTCTGATTCTGTTTTGGATCGTAACCAAGTACTCGATCTTGCCATGTAGGATCTGCTTCTGGGATAGCCAGCATACATACAATGAGATATAGAGACAGCTAAAAGCAGAATCATAACCTCGGCGGTTGGAATATGTAGTTACATGGTTTAGTATTCTAGTATTTCCTAAACGTAATACCCTGTTTAGGTCAGGAAATACCTGTTGCCGGAGACGGATGAGTTTGGCCTCATGAATGGGCATAGAAAAGATCAAGAGCTCTCTAGCAAATGGGTGGGTGGTTGAAGGCCTCAGGCAGACACCAACTTTAGCAATAGAGACCACTACCCATTGCACCACGTTACTCCTTGATTCTGCATCATTTTTCATTTCGCTGTGCCCCCGTGTAATCAGTATGCCTATAAACCTCTGCACGTTGACGTCTCGTAGGCGCCAACGTGCAGAGGTTGATACTTACCAGGGCATTGACATTAAGAAGACCCAGCTTCTTGATTTCTCGGCGAACGAAACCGCAAATAAGAGTATGGATACTCTACTGGGATTCATGTGCGCCGACTTAATTGGTGATCCCAGAGGACCGACAGCTCCTACCGCCATCTTCGAGATTTTCAATGGAAATACAACACACAAGAGAAAGCGCTAACCATAAATTAGAGCTCACACAAGGCCGATAAGGGGGACAAGGCAAAGGGCGGAACCTTGCGGAAGATGCTCGGGGAAGGGCGCCCTCAGGTCGGCCCAGATGCAGGGTCAGAATATCCAGAGAGAATGAGCAGACAGTCCAAACTCTAGTTTGGCCAGCGGTGACAGTAAACGTGCGAAGGTGTATCTCGTCAGAAACTACTATCCTCGTGGGAAATGGTATCGGGGATCGGCGATGCCATGCTCGCACGCACAACCGTATTCTCGTGGGAAGAGCCCTTGTCCATGGTAGGATCCATCAAGCGTGACCTAGGACGTTTGTTCGTCATCGTTGATCTACGATTTTGTTCCTCGCGCATCATAAGTTGATATGAGTCTTAGTCTTCATTCAACTCAAGCCATATTATTCCATGAGGATAATATGTGTGCTTTAAGTGCTATGTAGGGCTATTATCCTGTTACACAGCTTGGTTCGGATATTTTGTTACCAGCATGGCCCGGCAGACCGGAGTCTGGTACACTCACACTGCCTGCAACTTCGATTTTCCGGATTTTCTGCTAGACTCAAGGGCAGCAGACAAGCCAAACTGGGATGCGATTCCATTGACACGATGAGTTGAGTTCAAATTCTTGACAACCAGAATTTGGAAACAAGTGGCGCTCCCTTGGCGAGAAGCGATGACTGACCAGGCCAGGAAGAGCTCCCAAATCTATTTCAGGTTAGATAAATATTGGCGTTATATGTGGGAGGAAACTCACTCTGAACCATCGCTGGCCATATTTGGCCTTGATTGTATCGAAATTGCCGAGCCAGTTGCGGTACCATCTCCAAAGTGTTCCGGAATAATGGACCCCGACGGTGTCAACACTATTGATGTTCATGGTTAGCCCCGCCCAACAGGTTGAATGCGCTTCTAGGACTCACCCTTTGATTTCAAATCCAGCTCGTTCCAAGGATCGCACGTAATTCCAAAGAGGAGTGGAAGCGTCTGCACCACGGAAGATGTATTTATTCAAATACAAACCCCAGATGAAGTCCTCATACTGCCATGCCTGCCGGAGACCAGATAGCTGCACATACATGGAACCGTCATCTTGCAGCATATCATAGCATTGGCGGAAGAAGCCGGTCAATTTGCGGATACCAACATGCTCGCCCATCTCTAGCTGCGTGATCTTATCGTACTTCATATGGGGAATGTCACGGTAATCCATACAGAGGATGCGGCTTTGGGACTCTGGAACACCAGCCTTGCGGAGAGCGTCATTTCCCCATGCGGTTTGGTGTCGTGCAATAGTGAGACCTGTCACATTTGCTCCGTAGTTGAGACTCGCGAACTTGGCCAATGTTCCCCATCCACAGCCAATGTCCAGCATTGTTTCGCCTTCCTTGAGTGCGAGCTTTTCACAAACAATCGCCATCTTGTTATCCTGCATTTCTTCCAGAGTTTCCTCTCGCTCTGTGTCGGATATGATACCGGAGGTGTAGATCATGCGAGGACCGAGGAACCAGGCGTAGTGATCGTTGCCGCGGTCGTAGTTTGGACGGATCTGCTCTTCATCTTGGGACTTAGTATGAAATAACACATCCCTTGCGAATGTCAGGAAAATGAATTTGAACAGGTCCCAGGTAAACCCGAAGTGGGCCCAATCGTGTCGATATTCCATGACGTCCAAACAATCTCCGTTGAAATCCACCGCGCCATCCAGGTACAATTCACAGAAGGTTTGCATAGGGACACGTTTTTTCCCATGCCATTTCGCACGATCAGCCTCGTTTTTGAATGTCACATAATGCTCAATGGGTCGACCCGGCAGTTTCACGTCGTCCTTGATGCGAGGACTAGAGGTAGATTTCCAAGCCCAGAAACCAATGAGAACAGGCAAACCAGTAATGAAACCGAGAAATAGTGTCGTTTTCACACCTCCACCCAGTACGTAGGCTAGGAGAGCTGGAACTCCCACGAGGGCGCTGATCAACACGAGATTGGAAAAGCTCTGGTTGCCAGCACCTTCCGCCGGCAGAGGAGGATTGTGGATGGCGGGTGACTAGGGAAGTTAGCAATTTATCGGGCAAGATCAAGATTATTGGGATACTGACATTTGTCAGGGGTATTCCACAGCTTTCAGGTGTTCCGAAAGCCGAGGGCTTGGGGACCGGTGTCTTTATGAACTCAATGTCATTGTCAAGGGCGACATCGTTTGTTTCTTTGCGAGCCATGCTAGGGACTTTGATACATCTGTTTCGCTTTCAATTGATGAGAAACAATGAAAGTCAGTTGGAAGAACTCAGGAACAAACAAACCCCTGAGGGATTGTTTCGTCATAGGAACCCGCCAAGACCGTGTATCAGAAACCACCTGTCGCTTCCCGCGGTCTCCCTCGGGCCCCGCGGACTCCGACGATGTAAGACTTTCTACGAACTTGTTATAAATTAGTAAATAATAATTGAGCACTTCTTGTCATAGTGATCCAAAAGTAAGTTTATAGGTATTGTGTGTTGGTTTACGGCTGAGCATTCTGTTGAAGCGTCTACAATGTGTAGGCCAGAAAGTGTGGAGAGGCACGATCTGTATAACTAACTACTTATAGAGTGGTTGATGCCCGAGGCATCAATATTGAGGCCTGAGGCCGCGATCACAACATACACCTTTCATTGCGGGCATCAATCAACCTCTTGAATTCTGGTTTGCATAGTAAAATTACATGGTTTTGTAGGTGTTTGAAGTTGTACTTTCCATCCACTTCCATCAGTTTGCACAAATTTGTCTTTTTTCTTCACTTTCGCAGTAGTCAATCTGCACTTTTCGACATCATCCAGTCTCGTATGCGTTCAAATAAACCTCTTCCGAGGGTCTAGTGAGTGTATCTGCGACATCCTCCGCACTTGAAATGACTTCCAGTCGAACGATCCCGTGTCGTACTGCGTGTCGTACAAAGTGGTATGTCGCTTCGACCCACTTCCTTCTTTTTGCATAGTTGTTGGTTGTCATGGTTGCATATACATTGTCACTATCGCTCAATCAGATGGTAGGTAGTATCTCGGTCATTCCTATTTCGAAGTGTCTGTTAGCATTGTTGAGGAGACCGCGATCTCGCCGAAATGGAAGCCGCCGTGCTTCAATGAGTAGTGCCCGGGTCTTTTGTCGATTTCCCAAAGGTAGTGTTGCAGAGCACTGCCACTCATGGCATAGTAGTCGCCGTAGATGGCTACGAAGGGCAAACCGAAACGCCACATGATAACCGGATTTCCCATAGGCCATCTGTCACAGTAGATGTCGCCCGTGACATCGAAAAAAGTCAGCTGGGCATTTTCCGTGACGAAGGCGCGCTGCTACCGTGTTTTGGCCGATGATCAGAAGCACGAGGGCATCGGATAGACAGCGTTCACCTGGGGGGCAGATCAGGGTGCCAGTGGGTGTCATCCGTATCTCGTCGTAGTATGTGAGGTCCGTTCGTCTCGGGGCCTTGGCCAGTGTGTATTGTGTCCTGCCATTCATTGTCTCGACGTGTTGAGTGGTCTCTTGGATTTCTTCATTGTTATCGCAGATTCCGTGGCGAGAGCTGGGCGATCGCTTTGAGGTTGGCTTTTTCATGACGTGACGATGAAAGAGACGAGCTTGGAAGAAGGAGGTATTTTTGTGTTACAGTCACTGGGAGGCGAGAAACTGGGAATGATAAAAGAAGAAGTAAGGGATGATCTGAGATTAAAGTGAAAGAAATGAAGTGGACGAAGTAAGATCTAAGTGAAAATGAGAAGCAATGGCATAAGACTGGAAAACGGCCGAGTTTGGAGTGAGAGATGTTTGATTTCTGGGCGAAAATGTTTGTTAATTTATACGTCGGGCTGCGGATGGTTGGCAACGTAAGTCGAGATTGACGGTTTTTTTGTTGCTGTATCTTCAACAACCACATTATTTTTCGTACAGCTGGGTCGAATGCAATGTATTCGGCGAAGGTGTTGCTCTTTGCAGCAAGGTCCTCCTGATCGGGCAACCGGCGTAGTATATGACGAGTGCTCTTCCCGTCTTCGCAGCCATGATACCAGTCACTCCGGACTGATCTTTACCGAGCAGTATTCCCAGATTCATCGTCCCTTTGACGTATCTGCTCAATTGTTTCAATGCATCATACGTAATCCCCAGCCATAAGGCCAAAGTTGGGATGACTATACCAGTAGGTACGACCTAAACTGGTAAACGTGAGGTTATTCCCAGGCAACAAGATGTGCTGGGAATAATGGTGACGAGGATGTCAAGAAAGAAGCCACAGTAACAAAGACTGTGTGTGGCAGAGATTGCCGAAAGAGATGCAGAGAGGTTGTCATGGGAAGAAAACTCTGCGTGGGGTTGCGATGTAGATAGCAATCAAACAAATACCACCTGACAGTGGTTTAACCCCAAGGTGGCCTCGCCTCCCAGAAATCTGTACGCACAGTCCCCTATTGTAGGAGATGCTGCTGAGATTCTCCCGAAGTACAATAAGATGTATTGTGGTGGTTCAAGGTGTTTACTAAGTACTTGACAGGAGGACTAAACTACTAACTACCTAACTAGAGTTTCTCCCCCGAACACCTTCTTCCTGCCCGATCGGGCAGTCTTCCTGCGATCATGTCTGATGTCTTAGGCCAGCAAAATTCAAATCGCAAAAAATCTCCGGTCGTCGCGTCGCATCGCATCGTCGTCAAACACCTAAGCTAACCCATCAAACAATTCCCACTCGTGTTCATATCGGCACATTTGTCACAGCATGTAACAGCACACACTCCATATTCTGACATCTCTTAAAATTTCTCCTTGTTCAGTTCTCTTGAGTTGCGCTCAAAACATAGCTGATAGTTCCAGCCACACATGCAGTACAGCTCGCGCCTAGACATATACCTTGAGCTGCCGATACTGAAGGTGCGTTCACCACCGTTTTTATCTGATTGATGCAGTTGGAACATCCTCCCATAATAGTGAACGTGTGCGTATTATCCATGGCGGCTAATCTGCAGAAGAGATATCGTTATATATAAACATATATATGAGGAGGTTTGAGGGGACAAATGACATACGATGAATTTAGCGATATGTCTGAAGGAATAAGTAGAATAATAGGGTAATGCACAGGGAAAGTGTTGATAACCCTGGAAAGGAAATTGCCCAAATTATTATGTAGTAGAGGCGATCACTGATCGTGGGAGTATTGTTTCTAGGACTGTAGTCCAAGGGAGAATAGAAATATGGGAGGTAGATTGGTAGGGAATCGGGCGGTGTTTAAATATACGACTTCCCTCACTAGGCTGACTCTACAATGACCAGGCATCGGTCACGAGAATTCGTCGAGGATGTGCAGATGTTAGGTCGAAGCCATGCAGAGGATTGTGCGAAGTCCTGCAGATGATGGCCAATGAGTTGGATTTGCACTAGAGAACTGGCAGGCACCCTAGTCCGGAACTAGCAAGGCGTTGTGTCGGGCTATCGCGGGTAAAACGCCCAGATATTGAGCCAAGCGTGTTCATAGTAGCTGTAATGATTCATTTTACCCCTTTAGCTATGTGCAAGGTTCTTTTCAATACACCTACTACCCATAGACATTTATGACTAGACTTATACAGTACCATGGATACTAAATATGCTATCGCCCTAGCTAGAAGAATATATTTCTGGACGCGCTGCAAGCGCTGCAATCAGCTAGTAGTTGACCACGTCAAACGCGGGTTATCGTTATACACTTCAGCCCGAGCCCCCTGATGGTACCGGAATGGACGGAATTTCTGAGCAGCCAATAGTGGCGATAAGTGTTCCCTGTCCGTTGCAGAATACCTTGTCTTATCACCTGGGCAATGATTTCCCCGTTTTGCACGGGTATTATTACACCTGCCCCGCTCGCGTCCATATACTCAGATGTTACAATGTAGCTATGCTCCTGGCGAAATGATTCGTCAACTTTCTCCATGCGTCACCTGGTTGGTCTTCCTCCATCTTATCCCTTTTTCTCATTGTCAAAATTAACTGTGAGGAGACAAGCCAAGGGATGTGTTCACGTAAATACCTTACGAGTCCTAAGCCGCTTTGTCTTTCCCTTTTCGTCTTGGGACATGGGAGTGTTGTCACAGGCCAGTGCCCATTACTAGTAACATGTGTCATGAGACTGGTGACGCGCGCTCCACAAGCTCCGCACGCCGATGCCCTAAAACGACCCGAAGAAATCGATCGGACTTCAGTAGCAGAAGAGCAGGTGGCATTTTTCAGCATGATTATGCGCCTTCACATACCGCGATTATTGTTAGGCAGGCATTAGATGAGATGCGGATTGAGGTTATGGATTGCCCACTTATATCTATTGTATTGTTTGAAAAAAGTAAAAAGACGTAGCATTCCCAACGTGTTCACACTATTAGGCATCCATATGGTGTCATCGTGGGCCGTATTGTCACATCTTGGGGTCCAATCAATGGCGTTCAACTCTCTGTATTGCTGCCTCGACTTTGCTACCGATTTATAGTTAGATCCTCCGGTATGCCGGTAAGCATGCCATCCCAGCCGGCTGGGTGGTATCCGCATCGGAGGGCACCAATTCTCAATAGAGGATAAAGGCGTAATAATAACTCGACAGCGAGCCAGGAGAAGAGGGATCAGCAATGCAATGATAATCCCCCACGGACCGTCTAAACCGTATTCGCGGCCTCGTCTGGGACACCGAACGGCATTATCTGTATGGGCACTACCTCCGAATCTAGGCGAAAATTCTTAGCCCGCAGTGTCTCTAAAGCCAAATCTCTGTTCTCCGGTGTTTCAAAAACCACCGCGAAATACGAGTCTCCAGATTGGAGTACTGCTTCCAGCCCAAGTTTCTTACAAGTACGCGCGACGTACTTGTTCAGCTCATCGTTCTTCGCCGCGCGTTTGGCCTTCATATTCTTCGGTAGTGCCACATACGCTGTCCGGTTCTCAGCCTTCATCTGTTCTTTCTCGTTTGCCGAGAAGCGGGTCATGGTCGGTGACTTTTTTAGGCCGGGTGCCTCCTTCGTGGCCGGGGGATCCGTCGTTTGGGTATCTGAAAGCGAGCCAGGAAAAGAGAGATCAGCAATGCAATGACATTCGTGCTAACTGCTGATGATCACTAATGATAGATGATGATTGATGATGGATGAGAAGGGGAAAAGAAGAAGAGGAGAGAGAGGAGACTATCTGGTAGTTGACATGTGACAGTCCTGACAAACAAGGTCATGATATGATCCCAACATAACTTTATTGAGTTCTTAGCCTTATAGATTAGGTACCGACAATTTTATTTATATACTAGAACCGGGAGATTCGTTAGGATTAGTAGAGTAGCGCGGCTATTATATAATTTATATAACAGATAGTTATAAAAAGGGGACAAAGTAAAAGCGGGGTGAAATTAAGGTGAGGTAGAAGTAAAGTGAGGTGAAAGTAAAGTGAGGTAAAAGGTATGTATAGTGATGGAAACAATTTATGATTTAAGGCTATAGGCCTCTAGTCGGTATTATAGCCTCCTCGCTATCGTATACTTAGACTCTCTCCCTTAGTTATCTCGTCTAAATATAAATAGCCCGAATTACATCGAGAAGATCCGTTCCCCAGAGGTATATCAGATGCAGGCCATCGGCCATGAACTTCTTTGAGATCATGACAAAGTCCGTGGCCTATTTCCTAGCGTCGGATTTACAGATGAAGTGCTTCATGCAGCCGCTAATATCCTCGACATGTCGCACGAATAGACCCGCTATCTAAAACTTGTCGATACTGAGGATTCCGTTCACGACATCCTTACCACCAGTGATAGATGGCCAGGGTCATTCTTTCCTGTCAGACGCCTACAATAAACAGACGATGACCGTGGGAGGCATACACGACAGAGGACGAATTAAAGACACAGCAGAAGAAGCTGAAGCTCCAGGAGCAACAGGAAGAGCTACGCCCCGACGTATTCCCCAACTTCCAGACGCAGAGGACGAGGCAGTCCAGAATGGGGCCATCATAATCCTTCTCCAATCTATCTCCCAATTTATCCACTCAAAGCTAGAGTGGATAGTGGAAACAGCCACAAGGGTCTCAGTATAATCAATCTCAAGGGCGTGCTTGAGCCAGGTGTGCGTGTGACTCTCCTTAGCACCGCTTGTTATTCAGGAGGGTGGATCACTACCCCCGCCAGCTGCCAGAACCCTATTCCTGGTAAAGGTTGATGCCTTGATGTGCTCCGGGTCCTGCTGCTACTGCAGATGAACCGGCCCGTAAGAAGGCGAGCAAAAAGGGTAAGAAAGGCAAGGATAAAGATCCTATCCCCCTGCTCGTGTGGATACCGCTCCCCGATTTGGCCCGATCTTTGATACGAACCTTTATGCCAGTCCTTTATAATGGCCGAAGATATATCATGGCAAGGACGAGGAGTGCTTCATAGACGTTTTCAAACGTCTCCGGGAAGCGCGCCGGCGCGTGGAGCATGATTATAAGTTTATACGGGACTTTGCTGTCTCCCAAGGCTGGTAGGAGGAGGCCGATAACACTAAGGATTCGGAATCTGAGAGTTCCGAGGCGGATTCTGAAGAATCCGTAGATATCTTCCAGCGTTAGGTGGCCGTAGTGTTCTTTTCGGGGTTATTCGGACCCCTCTTCTGTATATTAATTCATTTTCTAAGCCTTGCCCCTTCTGGGCGGCTCCTTCTGCTTCGATGCAGGCAATGCGATTCAAATTGTTCGATTTCTTTAGCTTCTGTTGTTATAAGCTCTTCGGACATCTCTTGACGGGGGTGGAATGACAACGGCGAATGGGCTTGCTGTCCGGACTGAGGTCGTGGGGTTGCTGATGCATTCATCCGCAGATATGGTCCACTTCAACGGACAGTAATTCTGATATGGTTTGATATTCATAAATGGTGTCAAAGAACCTGGCTAACGGTAACCTTCTAGCTTCATGTTGATTTCCCAAACCCGCCATGAGCTCTTCATTACATTTGTGCCGCTCGAGAAGAGATACGAAGAATACCTGAGAAACGGAACCAACACCGACGCCTTCCTCGTCATAAACACATTTGATCCGTTTCGCACAGACTACGCTTGCGATATGCAGGAATTCGGCCAGATAATTCTCGCGGCTATACTGATTTTGAAGCCGGTAGCATGAAAATGAAACGATCGTTGGCCCGGGATTCATTCTTGCGTTCTCCTGCTCAGTATCATTTCATGTACTTTTTACGAAGTTGAAAACCATGGCCCTTACCTAAGTACGCTAGTCATTAAGTGTTCAATATATATATGCATTGAGTTATTTCCTGCTATGATAGAAAGAACTCTCACCTAGAACTATATTAAGACTATCAGACTATTGCTCCGCCCATTGGACAGAATAAGTTACTACTACCATCACTTTATCCCCAATGGCAACAATTAATGCGTCAATATCTACCTAGGTAGTCTTCAGCCCTGGCTGTTATTTCCCTTCACAATCACCGAAACTACGCTATATAGCCATACCCCTTTGGCTTCAATGTATTGGAACGATGGGATATGGCCATCAAAGAAAGAAAGTCAAGAAGAAAAGTGAACCTCATAATGAGACGGCATACTACCATATACCCCGTGTTACTTATTATCCCTCAAGAAAAGGTCCGAGATTTGAGCTCCGTTGAAAGCAGTCGTGGAGGAGTTTGATACAAAGGAGCCGTGATAGTTTTCATATGGCCCCTCATTTTGGATCTTTCGGGATAGTCTCATCTCAGTGGCGCTACTAACAGTCAATCCCACCCCAGCTCCCGCCAGGGGAATTAGTCCTGTCACAGCGCCAGCAGCAGTGAGGCCGATTCCAGCTAAAACTCCCAGAAAGGGGAGAATGTTGCGTTTGGCCACGTCTCTCTTCCTCAATTCCAGCATATTTTGCGACATCTGTGACATATTGCGTTCGTTTTCGGTTTTGAAGTCACTCAAATGCTCGTTAAGAAGCGATTCCTCCTCTTCGATCTTTTGGCATTCTTTGTCGATGCTGCTTCTCCTACGTCGGCCCATTCGTACATCTTGTTCAAGGCTCACTTTTTTCTGGCTCCAATAGTATTGCTCGTCTCCGAGTAGCTGGTCGTTGCTTTTCATCTCATCTTGCAATCGTTGGTATTGTCGCCTCTGTTCTCGAAGCTCAAAAACGAGCTTCTGTTGTTCATCGCGCATATGTGCAAGCACTTGGCTATAAGACTGTTCCCTTTCAGCGAACATCTCTCGAGTCGATACTCTAAGCTTTCTTTGCGCATGCTTCATCTCCTGTATTTGCTTTTTCAGTTCCAAGAGACTACTCTTGGCATCCTCCTGAGAAACTGACGCGTCTGATTGAAGCAAGCGTAATTCCTGCGACAATCCTTTCTCCGCTGTTATGTACTCCGACATAAGCTTTAGCCCGGCGGTCGTTTGATTCAACGGCTTTCCCTCGTCAACGAGCTCTCTCTGGATGAGAAGGGGTTTGTGGCCTTCCCCATCCCCCACTGAAATTACTGCATCGACGATTGAGAGCGCGGACAACTCGTCGCCGCGCCATCGCTTTGTTTGACTACCTTGTTGACAAAATCGCCCCCAAAACTCTGTTGTCGAGGTCAATCGTGATTCTCGAAGCACCGCCTCATAATAATCCTCATTTCTTGAGTCCCACATGGTAGTAACCAGGAACACCCGCGGTGCAGCATCCAAACCACACATATATTCCAGAAGCTTAAAGTTTCTCAAGGCAGTCCCTGAAACTCGATTATCCGAGATACGGTGCAGATATAGAATGCCGGCTATTTTCATGCCTGTCCGATAGATTTGAGAAAGAATGAAAGTGATCTCTGCAAATATTTCAAAATCCGAACGATAGGTGTCGTTGAATCCAGGTGTATCCACCAAATACAGAAGTTTGTCTTTGATTCTCATGCTGTGGAGTTCAACGCCCTGGGTATCTGGATTGTATGTTAATATAGCTAGTTTGGGAGATTTCAAACTGTACTCACACGATGTCAAATCATGGCCAATGCCAGTATCCTTTCCTACAAGCTTCGATATGAAGGTGCTTTTTCCAACACCCGTAATACCCATTACAAGCACTGCTGAACCGGCAGCAGAGTCAGAAGATCTGTAGAATGTTAGACAGGAATTCAAATCATGGATTTATATGACGTACAGTGTCATATCCTCATTAATTTCCTCCATGCTAAAATTGAAATGGCCTTGGGTGATGAATGGATTTTAAACAGGTTTCTAAACAGACGCTGAACTGTATCAATCAAGAAACACCTTTTGTCTGAGTAGGCCTCGTCATAAATTTGGCCCCACATATAACGACGACTGCTCCGCCACCTCCACTCCCTAGAGGAAGACTGTAGCCGGGCTGTGCGCCGCTCTCGGGGGGGATATAACAAACCCGACGGAAATTGCTTTGTTCGTAACAAAAATAGGGGTGAGTGGAGAGTAAAGAGCCTCTACGTGGCATTGCAGGTGCATAAACTAGGCTTCCTTTGGTGAGATCATAGATCACAAGGATTGATTTCAGCGTCGAGGAGTTGTGATCGACAGCTAGCCGAAGCTACAATAAGTGAATGTCGAGGCTCGAGCAAAGTAGGCAGAAAAATATGATTCGTCAAATAATTTTGTCTGCATGATGGCTTCGCCAGAAATAGCAGGGTGCCGCCGAAGCTGAAAGCAATCCAAAATTGAGAACTGTGGCGTTATAAGACCACCAATGGGGCTTCCTCGTTAGAAAAAATGGGGAAGCTAGAAGCTGCAAGCGCAAGGGTCTGGTATACGAGGAACATGAGGAGTAAACAAGGTTCCAAGGTTGGATATCCAGTGCTGACGTGAGACCACGCAGAGTTGACTGGGAAGGCAGTGGTCAGCCAATCACGGCGTTTTGCTAGGTCACCATACCCTTACCAGTAATTACCGCCAACTGGTGACCTGGTGACCTGGTGAGCTCTCTATTCCAATCAGCCACAAGCCCTCTTTAAGCATGTTCATAAAGCCTAATAGGCTCCCCGATATAGACTCGTTTTGGTTTTGGCAATTTTTTTTTTTTTTTTTTTCAAATCAAACTTATCATCTGAAGCCTATCTTCAATTTTAAAGCGCAATCATGAGAAATTCTACGTCTCCCGATGATGATCCATTCTTTCTACTAAATGGACAAGTCTCAGACGAGACCTTAGACGCCGACGAGCCGAATATATTCATTGCGATCATGGGAATGACAGGCGCTGGAAAGAGCACGTTTATCTCACATTGCACGGATGTGAAAGTTGCGATAAGTGACCCCGGCGCTCTGCAATCTTGTAAGTTTGGCTTAAATGTGGTCCTCATATGACTATGCATGACAACAGCATGCTGATTGTTGAATCTAGGTACACAGGAAGTTCACATGTATCGATGCACATATTTTAGTCCGCGCGCCAACGTCTATCTTGTCGACACTCCGGGCTTCGATGATACAGATCGCAAAGATACCGACATCCTCAAAGAGATCGCCACCTGGTTGACAAAGACTTACAAGCAGAACATCCACTTGAGTGGTATTTTGTACCTGCATCGCATCTCCGACAATCGTATGGGTGGGTGTGCGCATCGAAATCTTGTCATGTTCAAAAAGCTATGTGGACCTGAAGGGGTCAAGAACGTGATATTTCTCACCACCTTTTGGGAAAAGGTAGAAGGGTCTGATGGCGATACCCGTGAGCAAACTCTGAAGACTACCGAGAAATTCTGGGGCTACTTTGTTGAAAGGGGGGCCCAGGTCCAGAGGCATTGGAACAACCATGACTCTGCGATCGCCGTCATACAGAACTTCGTACCTCTTGATATAACCCAGTCACCTCAGCATGTGAAATTGGCCATTCAGACTGAGATGGTTGACTCACACAAGGATCTGGATCAAACTTCCGCCGGTCTGGAGTTGCAGGGCGAACTCCAAAAGGAAAGGGAGAAAATGCTACAGGAGTTAGAAGAAAGAGCCAAGGAGATCCAAGAAGAAAAGGACCAGGAGCTGCGCGAAATTCTCCGGAAAGACCAAGAAAACCAGGCCAAAGAACTCCAACGCAGAGACACAGAGATTCAAGAGCTCAAGATCAGCATGGAGAGGATGCACGAAAAGAAGATTCAACAGCTAGAGGAGCGCTTAGCGGACCAGCAAAATCAAAATCGCATCCATCTCGAAGAAATCGAGCGGGTTCTTCAGAGCCATCGAGAGAATGTTCAACAGATTCAAGACCAGCGCGACCAGGAAGCGAGTCAAATCGAGCAGATGAGCCAAGAAATTAGAGATCTGAAAGATAAAAAGATCGAACAGAAGCAAATGGACTACGGAACGATCAAATACAAGGCGGACGACGAGGGAGATGAAGGTGCATCCGACACGAGTTCTGCAACTTGGTCAAATAGAAACACGCAAACAACGACAAGAGTCTGGAATGGACTGGCTTGCTTCACTTGCGGGGAAGGATTTGTTGATCGAAACAGTCTGTTCGAACATCTCGAACAGCTACAACATGCGCGGGATCGTGTTACAGGGGAACCTAGGAGATTGTATGGCGGCTACGGGCCAAGAAGAGACTACCTACAAGGGGCTTATGCCTGAGGCAGAAATTCGAGGCCTAAGGCCACCACAACAACGGAGATACGTCAGATCTTATGAAAACTGTTGTGAACACCTGATAGATCAGGCATAGCTAGGCTGTCACCGTAGCTCTCTCTACAGATCAGAACAATCAACCTTTTCTTTCTCTCTCTCTTTGCATTAAAAACCAAGCCCAAGAAGCCGGCCCACGCCTGACCTGCCTAGCATGCGAGGAGGGATTATACGATAGAGACAGTCTGTTCGAGCATATTGAGGAATTCCAACACGGGCGAGACCTTATCACTGGGAAACCCGAACAATACACCAGACCAGCACACTACACAGAGCAACTTGATTCATATCTGACTTGCATGACTTGTGAACTGACATTGGAGACCGAGATCGCCTTTTCAGTCACATTGAGAAGTATCAACACGGGAGAAACCTTATAACAGGGAAACCTGTATATTATACCAGACCAAATCCGCACAGGCGAGGGGACCCTCAACAGCTCTGCTTCTTTCAAGCAGCCGGACCGGAACAGCGACGATGCCTCCGCTCATCTCTGCTCACAGCTGCTGTGGCTGTGGCCGAGGGCATGAGGAGAAGACCTGGAGTCGCTCCGGCTGAGAACCATCCATTCCACCTCCGCTTTGTTAAACGGTTTACGCGGCCGCGAATTTCGAGCAATATCCTCGACGACAAATCTGGGTTCTAGCTTTACCTCGGGGGCTGAAGTCTTTCCCATAGTCCATCTGTTCACATTTGTTAGCCCCTAGCACGAAGATGCCCGGGACGCAGCTACGGAATACCACGTCGTCCACCCTACTCGTCCCGGGTATAGCGGCTACTACTCTATAGATAATACTGGGTTAAACGCTGAGAGTTTCGCTATCCGATTCCTAGTATACCTCCGGTCCTTAGGTCCGGATTCGGATCCCGATAAGGCTATCTTACGAGTTGTATATCATAGGTCGTTCTCGTTACCTATCTATCGACGAGGACGACCACAATAACAACGACCCCCCGTCGCCGCCCTAGGGGCCACCGCCGCGGCCACCACCGCTCTAGTCATGGCTATATCAATTAGGTGTCAGGCCAACCCCCGCTGAATTTATCGACGAGATAGCCCCCGACGACCCGTCCCGAGTCCGACTTAGGGAGATCCCCCCCCGGGAGCTAGGTGGTTCTTATAGATCGACGAGACCGCCGTGGCCGATTTAGCGACGACGGCTCCTTCTTACAATACTCTTTCATCAGAATCCGTCGACCCTCTCCAGAGACTACCCCGAAGCAACCATAAGAAGAAGAACAATAAAGACCGGCCCCCGTCTCTAGTTCAGTCGAGGTGGTCGGCGGGCTAACCGACTTCCTACGCGAAACCGTGCCAGAGACACATATTGCCACGTGGGAGAAACGGCTCGAGGAGGTAGAGAGGGATTTGGTTTCGGCTTTGACTAGACCAAGCCCACCCAGTACCCCCTCATCGATAGAATTGTCACCGGGGGTGAACCCGATTGACGAGGTGTTGAGGCGCTTGACTTCAGCTGCAACTGAGAGGGGCACAGACAACGCCCCGCTAGAGACTGATCTTTCCACTAGGGAGGGACTAGTCGTGGAGGTAGAGAGGGAACGCTGTATCGGCGTCCGCGTCATGGCTGAGAGCCGGGTCCACACTTTACTGGACCAGTTACTATGATTTTACCCCTATCTCTAGGCTAACATTGAGGCCTATATACCTAAACAGTAGATGACGCAATAGGCAATAAGCTATTAGTTTTGACTCAACCATCATATGTGCGTAATGTGCCTCGGCGTCCTCTTACGATTTCACACTCCCAGGCCAATCTCTCATTTCCGTTCCTAAGGTATCTCTCTAAATACCATTAGAAATGGTGTCAGAGCTTCACCCGATTCTGGGGTTTCCAATGTCAACACAAACAGTCTCCGTTTCATTGATTGATTGGTACAATATCACCCTTCATCCTATGAGCAATACGCTAATGTTCTCTAGTGGTGCTCGCCTCGACCTCCCGGCAGATCAGTTCGTATTTCCAAATATACAAGGCCACGAGCGCCTTCAAATCCCTTCGTATTCCTTTTTAATAACACATCCATCCAAAGGCCGGGTACTGTTTGATCTGTCTCTACGAAATGACATTCAGAACCTCGCCCCAGTCATGGCGAATCGTATAAACAATCCAAGTATAGGATGGAGAGTGGCAGTGACTCAGGACGTGCCCGACACACTGGTTGCGAATGGAATTGCACTACCCGAGATCCAATCGATATTTTGGTCTCATCAACACTTCGATCATATTGGGGATCCGTCCAAGTTTCCGAGCAGCACGGAGTTAGTTGTCGGACCGGGATTCACAGAGGCATATACCCCAGGGTATCCGGATAATCCAGATTCGCCGGTGAACTCGGCTGATTTGGAAGGGCGTCGAGTAATTGAGCTTGATTTCGACAATTCCGAAGAATCTATCTCCATTGGACGCTTCAAGGCTTTTGACTGGTTTGAAGATGGAAGTTTCTATTTACTGGATGTTCCGGGCCATGCAGCTGGTCATATATGTGGCTTTGCTCGTGTAAAACCGGACTCATTCGTCTTAATGGGCGGGGTGAGTGGTGATTGAGATGTTGATTATAATAGTAGTGCTAACAGACATCAGAATTGTGCCCATCATCCTGGGGAATTCCGCCCGTCGAAGATTGCCCCCGTTCCTAAAGATCTTATTCCTTTACATGTAGCAGTACATTCGAAACAGATGTCTGTCTGCCAAGGGACCGTGACTGAAAGAATCAATAAAAAGCACGCGATCGAACGATCACCAGTCTACAAGGCTGCCACTATGTTTACTCACGACATTGATAAATACCAGTGGAGTCTGGAAGGTATCCAAGAACTCGATGCCTGTGAAAATGTGCTCGTGATCATAGCTCATGATGGTGGAATTTTGCCTGTACTACAACGGGCAAATGTCCTTTTTCCAAAGGGAGAATTGACCGAATGGCAACATAATGAACTCAAGGAGGCTGTCAAGTGGGTTTTCTTGTCCGATCTAGCAGTCCTTACTTGATGACTGCATGGAACCTCCGCACTCCTTGGGTGCTTTGCAAGAGCGCCCCAGGGCGGATTCTACATGGATCATCTCTCAAGGACTACATAGAACTGACTTGGAAAAGGACCTTAATCCCAGCTTTCTTCAGTTGTATCATAATCGTAATGCTTGTGCGATATAAACAACCTATTCATTCTCCGTGTCTTCGTACTCGTTAGGTAATGAGCCTTTCGCCCCGAGTCGTTTTTGCCAGGCATCAACAGATGCATGGCGCTACAAAGATATTCTAGAAAGATATAGCCAGCAGTATAGAACGCTTGAATTGGTTTGTGTATTTCAACTCGAACACGTCCTGGCCTGTTTATTTATTTGGCATTGCGGATATATCAGTACATGAATGATGTTTTGGAAAAGATTGCTCGTCAGGAATGCACAGCCTAAAAGTCAATGCAGATCTTCCCAATATGCTGCCCGCTTGTCATGAAGTCAAGAGCCTTGATAACCTCATCACGGCCAAACTTGAACACCTTCTCAACCGGAATCTGCAAGTTTTGCTTGCCGATGAAGCGAACAGCATCCTCTAGCATCTCCTTCGAGCCGACCATAATGCCACGCACAACAGCTCCCTTGCCTAAGGCAAGAAGGGCGATGTCGGGCATCTGGTCTTGCGATGCAAGAGACAAGAATCCGATACAAGAAATAACTCCACCGTACGCGATCGCTTCCAGAGATTGTTTCATTGTACCAGAGCCACCGTTCTCGATAATGAAATCGACGCCTTGGCCACCGGTGATCTTCTGCGCTTCCGCTGCCCAGTCGGGAGTCTTTTTGTAGTTGATAACGTGATCGACACCGTACTTCTCCTTCACGTAGGCTAGCTTCTCATCGGAAGAGGATGTGATGATGGTGGTCGCACCTGCCGCTTTGGCCAAGACCACGCCGGTAACAGACACTCCTCCCGTACCTATCAATTAAATATCAGCGCCGTTGTCTAAAGGGTAGATCAAAAGAGTCATAAAGACATAGCATACCCTGGAAAAGAACAGTCTGCCCGGGCTTCAATGCCACGTTTCCATACAGAGCGTTCCAAGCCGTCACTCCAGTACAGACAACACTAGCCCACTGAGCGTAGCTAAGGGTTGACGACTCAGGAAGCTTTACCACACTTTGGGCTGGAATCGTGACGTACTCCCTCAGAACCCCATCTTTAGGGCCGCCTAGGCCATTCTGCCAGTTCTTAATAGGTCCATACAGAGTAGCTGGATCGAAGGCAGCGACAACTTTGTCACCTTTCGCAAACCCGGTTACTCCTTCGCCGACTTCGACGATATCGCCTGCGGCATCGGATCCCGGAACCACATTGTCCTTCACGGGAAATGGGTACTGGCTAGTGGCGATCGCAACGTCTCTGTAGTTAAGAGAAACGCTGCGGACTTTGATGAGGACTTCATGTTTTCCAACAATGGGACGAGGCTCAACGGATGTTTGGATGTTCTTCCAAGAATCGCGGGTTGTGTGACGAAGAACAGTGTGAGAAGACATTTTGATATGGTGCAAGGAATTGAAGAGTCAATTGTAACGATTGGGTTTGAAATTCAGCAGGAATATTTCCAGCAGGATGAAGGGGTCTATTTAACATTCATTTCTCTACGTAGTTAAGGTGTTCTCGGTTTCTACCCCATCCAAATGACGTCGCATATTTCTACTCCAAAGATTACAGATCTGCTTACATATCAATTGTTATTGCCACAGGTGGGTTAGGAGTGGCTTATTAAGAGATTAGTGGGGCGAAGTCTATTACAAGTTTATTACAAGTCGACTGCAGATGGGGTAGATATCGGGCATATACCTAGGTATGGAGTAATTACCCCACATTCCCCTTCCACAATACCTTCCAGAAATCTTGACAGTATCATTGGGCTATGGGATTCGCTATTAGATCGGAGGTCGGGGCTACAGTTAATGTGGAGAGCGAATTGTATAGAGTAACCGAGATTGGCTTTGAAAGGGATAGACGGGCGTAGAATGAAGCAGAAAGTCTCGAGGGAACTGTGACAGAAACGAGAAGACTTTCTATTCATTGGCATTCCTGCTGTGTAATCCAGCGAGCCTGGAATCATTCGAATTGTGGAGTTAGATCATTGTTCTGCGATGTCAAGCCGAAGATGCCAGCCGGGAATCCAGGATATCAGCGATAATGGTAATGCTCTCGCCTATCACCTGAGAGATATTGAATACATGAAACCCTCCAAATGTTTCGGCCCACAGTCGAGCGGTGGATGCTGCTAGACGGCGGACTGCATCCGCATCATCATCGGCCCAATCTGAAAGGTCGGTAAGATCTGCCTCTCTGATAACAGTATGAATCATGCTGAGGAGCTTACGCTCGTCATCCCGTAAATTCTGAACGCCGAACACCTCTATACATCGAGCAATCTCCTGGATCCAATGGTTGAGAAGGAATGTACATTCAAGATTGCAAAGCGAATGCTGCATGCTCCAGTTCAGCATTTGAGTGCGTGCTATGAACTGTATTCCCGACCGGACAGGAATACTTAGTGCATGGATGCACTGCAAAACCGCACGGTCAAGAAACGGCGAGCGTTGACACACACCAGGTCGGCCATCGATAAGTGCACGGGCAATTTCCTCGGGATTCCGAGTACTTAGTTGACGGTGCGGTCCTGTATTGGCATTGAGACGAATATAGGCTAAGCGCACAAGGGCTGTCGCGTTAAATCCCATAGGACCTCTAGGAGATAACGGATCTAGAGTGGATTCATAGGTTGCCTCCCAGGAATTTTGCCACGCTCGCAGTGCCGATTCCATTGCCTGCACGAAGCTCATTGAAAAAGACCCGGTAGATTGATCTACCAGAGAAGACGTGTTGCGGGCGAAGAAGATCTCTTGAAATAAGCCGTGGATGAGTACATAATTCGCGAAGGCAGAGATTGCCACCGGCTCGTGAATTTGATGTCCCTGGAGAATTTCTCCCAAAGCTTGCTGAAAGTTTCTGGAATCAGGTGTATGAAATTCTCGCATGTGCCTCCATTCTTGGGCGTTCGAGGCTTTCCATTCTTCGCCGCAAGATGGTAAGGTCAAAAGTACTTCCCGGTTCAAGATCGTGGGCGGGAAATGAAAGGCCAGGCATTGTAAGTTGGATTGAGCATATGCCACCCATAGTGTTCGACGGCGCTCCTCCTTCGCCACCCAGACTTCCCAAGAGGATGTCTCATGGCCTGCGTCAGGTGTAGAGATGCCGATTTCACGCACTAACATAGCGACTTGGCCGGACATCGCGAGTGAGTCACCCACTACGGCGCGATCGCCCCATGATGCCAAGGTCATCAAGGTGATAAGTCCCTGTAATAAACGTAAAAGCTTTGGGTTTTTTCTAGTGCCAGGATGGGCATCTCCATCGTTATTGATGGTAGGGGAGCTCTGCGGGTGACCTCGTGTATTCGGAGTGTCCGCGTAGCCGTGGGAAGTCTTTGTTAGATTCGAAATTTCCAGGCCGCTGCGTTGGTCGAGACGCCAGTTGATGAGTGTCCGTGCGGCGTGGTAGATCATGTACCCTTTTGCATTTTCAAAGCGATAGAACGCTCCAACTGCCGCCAGTGATAAAATGAGTTCTGTGCCGAGCGAGGAGGCAGAGGAAGATGGGATGTGGAGGAATGGCATGTGATCATGATAACTGCGAAAGAATCCTTCGAGGAAGCGAGAGATAGTGTGTCGGGAAGGCAAGGAAAAGGATGACGGGAGAACAAGGGCGAGCTCTTTGATGTCATTGGAAAGCCCTGCATAATCCGAGGGCGTCAGTTTCCAAGGGGAGATTGAAGGAGCAAAATTGCCTTTCAATTGACGGTTTTGTGATGGATCTCCCTCTTCCTCAGCAGCGATGGGATCATTTTCGTGGTCCACGTTGGGCTGCGTGTTTATGTCTAGGGAATTATCGACGTTTTGTTGCCCTTGCTCTACTTGCTCGGAGATTTGCTGTTGCTCCAGGAGAGGAACTTGATATTGCTGGGAAAGATCCACCAAAGAGAGGTTCGTGTCGAAGAAGCTGGCAGGTAGAACCTCGGAAAATGGACGCGAGTCGTTCCAAAGAAAGTCTAAATCATCGGCCTCATTCCACGGTATTGTGTGGTTGGCAGATTTTTCCACCGCGGTTCCCATAAGATCCGCTTCAAGGGCGAATCCAATATGATCACTTTCAATATCTGGCTCGTCGCAAGTGGGAGTAGGTTGGGATAAAGATAACCCAGCCTCAGTAATGGTGGAGCCGGTCCCCTGGGTGCCGTCAAGCTCATGAGTACCAAAAGAGTTCCACGATCCCCCATCCCGCTCGCGTTGCGAGGATGGATCATCAGCAGCTACATCAGAATTATCGGGGCTGTACTTGTGGGACAGTCGTAGATGGCGCGTCAACATATCTCTTGAGAGACGGTCAGTATGCGCGATCTTATTAAAAGTCACGCTTGCTTACTGTCGTGCAAATCTTCCGCCACATTCACATACGAAGGGCTTCTCATGTGTATCTCCAGAAAGGTTAGTCAATTGATAGGAGGATGTGAGTTGGGAAGGTTATCTCTTACGGGTGCGCTCATGTCGCCGGAGATGTTCCTGTCGCTTGAACTGCTTTTGGCAGAACCTACAGGGCTGGACAAGAGAGCGTGGTCGGCCCATCGCCCCTGGCACTAGGCCGTCGCGTCAATGTGGGCAGAAGACCTGTGGAGCTTTGATGATAGAAATGACCCGCAAGGCGTTGATGAGCCGCAAACAGCGGTCCTTATCATGTGACGAAAGCCACGTGAGACCAAACGAAGCTTCCAGTCCAACCTACGCAGCAATTCTAAGCTACTTGGGATGATGGAATTATTTAAATATTGAAGACACTATTATAAGGCTATGACTGGCCATCAGGCTCCGCCTAAAACTTTTTAGGATGAATGTGGAATCTGGAATGATGAGGTTGAAGGTATATATACTATAGCAGTTCTGATATATCTGGGGAGCAACCTAAGAAATAGCCTCCTCTAGGTCATAACTAGAGAACATGGTGTTTGAAGTGGCTTAGTGGTAAAATGGCCGTATTATTTCACACAATCTCGTAGAGGGCTAAGGACTTATCCTTAGTCGGTATAGTGTTATCGGGCCAAGGCTGTAGACCCCCATCTTTGACAATTTGAAGTTAACATGTTGTACAGGGTAAAATCCATTGATATACATTATTATAACTAGTTAGGACCTTATCGCTTGACACATGTACTTCCCCGCTCCCCCATTTTCAACGCCCTCACGACAACCAAGAGTACCATGCTATATAGACGTGGTAGCCATGGTCGCTCGTAACCCAAATTTGATCTAAACACATCATCTATTCACAATGTGGCGGATTTTTGCATCAGGAAGCACGGAAAAAGAGGAGCCCCCACGCGGTCTACCAGCATCATGGTATCGCTCAGAGGCAATGTACCAATTGGAGAGACGGGCAATCTTCTCTAAGCGATGGATGCTCCTTACCCACTCAAGCCGTTTCAAGAAGCCAGGAGATTATCTGTCTTTTACAATTGCCAACTTCTCCTTTTTTCTTATCCGGGACCGAGACGGTACAATCAACAGCTTTCACAACGTCTGCCGTCACCGCGCATTCCCCGTTGTCCAAGCTCCCTCCGGCACAACACCCATACTGAGCTGCAGGTATCACGGATGGTCATATGGCCTGAAGGGTAATATTGCCAAAGCTCCGCGATTCGAAACAGTCCCCGATTTCGATAAAACCCAGCACTCGTTATTCCCAATCCATGTGCACGTCGACAAGGCTGGCTTTTTATGGGTCAATCTGCAAGCCGGTGAGACGGACGTGAAATGGGAGGATGATTACGAGAAGGTCGATGAGGAGCCCCGCATGCAGGACTTTGACTTTGCCGCCGAGTTCAAGTTCGATCATTACTGGGAGATGGAATTGGACGCGAACTGGAAGGGTGTAATTGAGAATTATAATGAGTGCTACCATTGCGCTACTTCTCATCCACTTATCAATGGCGTTTCAGATTCGCCAAAATATCGGGTTGAGCCTAAGGCCCGGTATATGGAGCATCATATTTTTAATAAGGAGGGCTCTGATAGCCAGTTTCGGCGGGCGATCACGTACTTTTATCCTACGACTTCTGTTACGGTGACGTGAGTGGTATATGATTATCCTTTTAAGCTGTCAAATGGCTGGACTAACTAGACTAGTGATAAATTCTTCTATATCCAACGCATGATTCCTGTATCTGCTACTTCGAGCAAGATTGAGAATGAGGTTTACCGTCACCGGGATGCCACTGATGAAGAATTTGAGAATATCAACGCATTTTACAGACAGGTGCTCGACGAGGACAAGGAGCTTTGTGTTGGAACGCAGGAGAACCTAAGTGCTGGGGTTTTCACCAACGGGGAACTACACCCTAACAAGGAGAAGGTAATATCCAATCATACCACTACTATGACAATAACTAACTGAAACCTCAGGGACCTATCCACTTCCAAAGTAGCGTCAGAAGAATGCTGATGGAACACCGAAAAAATGAACAAAAGCAAAGAGTAGAGATTTGGCCGGCCACCCCGAAGGCTCAGTTGTCGAAGAATTCGGCAGAAGATGAGACCTTTTGTTCGCAGTTGGAGGCATCTAGTTGTATGGCCAAACCAGAACTGGCCTGGTAGCCGGATACACAAGTTCCTTACTCTACTTATGTACATATAGCAAGACACAAAGGGAACCTCCACTATGGCATATGCTATCCCAGTTATTCTACTTGCTTACCATTGCTTGTCTCTCCGTTTCTCATCTTTCCTTTCTCAATATTCGACGGCGCAATCCACCAATTTCACCCTACAATTCGTACCAACTATCAAGCACGGAAATACCTTGCAGCGGAAAGGAGTTGCTCCGTGAACCCAGAGTACTATCCAAGTTTCCAGAGTGAAGCATACTGCTCCTACTATATGGAGCTCAGCTTCACACAGCCTGTCACTGATGAGGGCTTCGTGGGCCGTCTTATGTCCATACTCTGCAACCGGAATCATCAGATACAATCTTACAACCTTGACCATAGGCATATTCACATCACCGAGCCTCCGAATAAAAGAACAAAACAAGCACGACGGCCTGTATCATAAATTCACTAACCAATACAACTCCCAAACCAAACCCATCAATAACCTATCTATTCGACCCAACCGGGTTATTACCGGTTTGCTTCTGTCCAGCGAGACTAGATACACCACTCTGCACCCCCTGTCCTGCGCTCTTCGCTGTATTGCTCACACCCTCCGTCGCACCCGAGACGGTCTGTCCTAGGCCTGATGTTGCGTTGCCCACGGTTGAACCGAGCCCGCCAACTGTGCCGCCCACTGTGTTTGTCACGCCGCCGACTGTCTTGCCCACGGTATCGCTTAGGCCGCCGAGAAATCCGGCTATTGGTGGTTAGTTGGCGTTCGGGTTTTAGGTTTGGTGTTTGGGAAACGTACGGTCTTGCTGGTTGGACATGGTGGTTGTGTGGATATGTAGTTGGTGTTGTAAGAAATATGTAATTCGAAGTGATAGGTGTTTGGATGTTCAGTGTTGATCGAGATGGTAGAGTCGCAGGCATCGCCGTCTTTATTTATATCAACGCCACGCTCTAAAACCGGTTACATCGTCATGATATCAGGTGCAATATCCACTACTTTCTGGCAGCCACCTTGATCTAGCTTAATATCTTCGATGTATCGATCTGACGTATGGCTGCCATCCCTGTTCCCGCAGCGTGGATAATAGCACATCGTTATTGGGTGATATTCTGCGATCACTTGTGGCGAGTGGCCGAGAGACAGTTCTAGAAAGTCCGTTATATTAAACGACAGTGGCGAATGGTGGATGACTAGTGAGGGCCTGTTGTTGTGATGTTGTTTCTAATTGGGAGAGGCCAGGGGTATGATGTCATTGCCTGTCTCACGCTTCGGTTGGGTGAGGGTATTTATTTAACTGTAAGATGATCTCGTCTGCGGGGGTGAATTGGTATTTACGATTTTAAAAGCACAAAGTCGTCACTCATTCTGTGGCAAGTCAATGTCCACGTCTGAAGTATTATCGGTGTAACGCATCGGCATATCTATAGACTCGCCTTTCCGCGAGACTCATATGGCATGAACAACACAAGAATGCCTGCTGCGATAAACAGGGCCCCACTAACATAAACAGGAATAGCGGTCGTGAGATCAGCGAACATGGCAATGATGGGAGCCATGATGCCAAAGATCCGATTCGCAGACGCAGTTAATGCGTTTCCCGTACCGCGGTCCTTGGTGAGGAAGATTTCGGGGGTGTATGCATATAACACAGCGTACATGAGACTACTCATGAAATTGAAGGCGCAGTTCCAACCCAACAGAGCATTTGACGTGGTAGCTGTTGTTGACGCAAGAAGGAAGGCTCCAGTTATAGCTGTCGAGGAGCTAAGAGCACCCTTTCGGCCAAAGCCTGGTAGTTCAACCAAAACTCCACCAAGCAGACAACCTGGGATGCCCATGACAGCAATAATCAACGAGTTCCGATACGTGATGTATGTCGACCCATCACCGAATTCGGCGCCTCGGGACTGCTGAATGTATGGAAGAAATGCGTTGTACAGTGGGAAGCCGAGACCGATGAATGCCCAAACAAGGATAATCAACGTTGTAGCCCATGCTCGCTTGGGGGTATCAAAAAGAGCGCGGATATGATCGAACCGTACGGTCTCCAGGCGTTGACGGACGATGTTTGCCGCGGTGAAATGCTGGATCTCACCCTGGTCCAAGGCATCGAGCTCAGTCCTCGTCAAATCAGATGTTTTTCCATTCCGTCGGGCCACTTCGTGGACAACGTCCACAGCCTGTTCATTTCTCCCCTTCCCCATGAGGTATTTGGGGGACTCGAAAATCGTGAAAAACATAAACCGACCGACAAACATGATCATCGCGAGGCCACCCATCGTGATCATAAACCACCGCCACCCCATGTTGTCAGACTTCGTACATCCTTCTGCCGAATCACAAGTTCTATACCCAAGCAGTGGCCAACCGATCAAATTAGCGACCACCTGCGCCAAAGCCCAATCAATCGACAAGATAGTCAACAAGTACTGATGTGACCCAGGTAGGAACTCGAGGAAGATGGCCGAGTCAACTGGCAGATTTCCGCCTACGCCGACAGACCACAAAGCGGCAAATGTACATATAGCCGCAAAATTGGGCGATCCCGCCGCGATCAAGCCAAACACCGCTGTGATTCCGATGGTCAAGTTGAACGCCCACCTGCGACCGAAAATGTCGCATCCAAATCCCCAAAACACCGCACCGACAAGCAACCCGATGTTTTGCGCGAGCGTCAACAGCGGCGCTTTTGACGGGTGGAACTCTTTTGTCACTGCGGGAAGAATCAGAGAGGTAACAATCGGCCACAGGTTGTCGCTCGCCCAGCCGAATCCGATCACGACGAAGAGCTGCCACTGGTATCGGCCCATGCCGATCGTCTGAATCGCGCTGTTGAGAACCCCAGCTTTGGCTTTGTAATTCGCGTCGGGACCCTCATCTTGAGGGATAGTTGGGCGTTCGATCGCCGTTGGCTCGGGGCCAGGCGATTTGATCGCGTCTGACATGTCGTGTTGAGAACAGGAAAAAGGTAGGAACGAGGCATCGGGAGGGGGGGCACCCCGGCTTATAGGGTGACTGCCCACATTCTCACTCTGATCCCATTAGATTGGAAAGTCCATGTGTCTAATCATATCCCAAAAATGCAGAAACTTGCAGATCAGCATAATTCAGGGGTTTGTTTCCTTTTCCATCCACTTCGATTGGATGATTTGATGGCGTGATCGATTGGTTGTTTGGTGTCAGATTCGTCCAAGCATTTCCCCAATTTATCCCGCAGGCATTCCTGACTCATTGCAGGGATGTTTTCGTATCACGTGGGAGGTGTTTGAAATATGCTACGAAGAAACGTTACCCACTCCTATACTATTCCTCCCCGGGGACAATAATTTCTACATGAGCGCCAAGGGACACATGAAGAACGGATACCACCTCCGACAGCTGCTCGGAAAGGTCGAAGGCAGGCATTATGCATTCAACGTAAAGCCGCCTAAGCCACTGCTAGAGAGCTATGATATGCATATGAATAGAAAGGGGTGTGGATAGTAGGTATAGTAATGAGCGAGTGTGTGCTAAATGCAACACCATATCATCTCTCAACCAAATCGTTGGATTTCCATGCTATTACTACCACAATCGCAGCTTCACGCTTTTGTGATCCCAAAAACCAGAGTCTGGGCCATTCCAGTTTCAGCATAATACTTCTCCCAATGCCGCACAAGTTTCTTAAGCACGTCCGGCTGAGCCCCAGAAAGAGTATTGATCTCGCTAGGAACATCTTAAAAGATTGAATAGTTCCCATCATCTTTACCTCGGGGCTTGTTCATCCATATTGCCTTCCAATATCCCTCATCGTGGATAGCTCTTCATCCAAAGAGCCCCAGCCGTGAATGCGTACGTCCTCTCTGTGGATCGTGGTTGTTTCTGGGGTGGATATTGTCTGAGAAGTGAACTTTAGGTCCATTTATGAGGAGAAGCTTAGCTTAACCAAATCACTTGAGCCCAAATGATCTGTACACGACTTTCCTCGCGGGTCGTACTTCACGACCGCGAAAAGAGGTTCCACGACGGGGGACCCCGGTTAGGTCTAAAGCCGTTGGTTGTGAGTTTGTGTACCGATCAACCGTACTGGTCAAATTTTTCAATCGGTTGATAGTCCTCGTTTCAACCTACCGCTACTATGAGAAATACTCATGTCGAAGTATTTGAGTTGTCTTGCATCTAATATAACTAGTCATTTAAACGAAGATATATGTTAGAAAGTCCTATTATGTACTTTGGTCAAAGGACCAACCAGTATCTGAAGTTTCTACTCACCCCAGTTTGACTTGAGAAATTATATATTTCTACGGATCCAGGGAGCGAGTAGTACGCCTGCACAAACTACCCATCGCTTACTACGGCTCAACACAAACGGCAATGTTACGGGGTTCAAAATTAAGACAAGCATGGGGTGGGGTTAACATTTGAATAAATTCTGTGAACCATTCATCCATTAACGAGTGACAAGTAACATCTTCGAAGTTCGAACTTAGTATTGAGCTGAGTTCCGAAGCACGGCTAGCAAATTGGTTGATGTTGGATCATTCCAAGTTGTCCCAGTAGTTCCGGCGGGAGGTTGGCCTATATATATCTGCATAGGCTACGGTCTCTTGCCGAGGACTAGCTCTACCCCACACAACATGGCCCAGCCCGAAAAGGTCAGAGGTGGAAGTCAAGGCCCGAATAAGTATGCAGTATGTACGGAGTACTCCGTAGGAATGTATCCCTTGAACTACTCTACAGAATATTCTATTCCGAAAACGGGAGGATCCAATCAACGACACAGAGACCAGTCCTCAAGTGAATGCACCAGCCTACATTTCAACACCAAATGGTGCTGATATAAAAGCAAGAACGATACCGGTTAGTTCGTGGATTCCAACCTTGGAATGTTCAGCGAGTCCTACTGAGTTCAGCCCTGGTATAGGGCCTGACAAAACAAAGTAAGTAACTTGAGGCAAACATTATCTTCGCTGTGCGTCAGTCTAAAAACTAGGGCAACCACATGACCCACTGAAAAAGTCGGTGGACTACATACATCTCTCTACAATAGTCTCACAAGATTCACTACGATATCGATTCAAAGTTCGAAGTGTTTGAATTGTCCCGGCTATATACGCAAGCAAGACCTAGCATCCAAAGCTAAACCAAGTCAGTCGCACACTTCAACAGCAAAAAGTCCTCATATCACAGAAGTAATCCTGCTGCTGAAGCTAACAGCCATTTGCAAAACCACTTGTTCGGACTCCAATGCTCCTCCCAATCATGTCCAAGATGACATCTTAGATCCCTTAGATCATGAGACGCTCGACCTGGTTCTTGATGGCGCGGATCTGAGCGGTCAGGTCACTGGCCTCGTTGGTGGTGATGGAGGCAGCGATGACGGGGCGGGAGACACCGGTGGCACGGCCAAGAGCCATCTTGCTGGGAACGTAGACGTAGGGAACCTGATTTGGAGGGGATAATTAGTCTTGATTCTAAACATAAAGTTTTGGGGTATTTGACTCACGTTCTTGTCCTCAGCCAAAAGAGGCAAGTGAAGGACAATAGCGAGGGGGCTGGTGTCGGCGGCCATGATGACAAGCTCGGAGGTACCACGGTTGAGGGACTTGGTGCACTCGTTGGCACCCTTCTTCAGCTGACGGTAGTGAGCGGCCTGCTGCACAAGGTCGAGGAGGCTCTGGGCGAGGGCCTCATCGGCGATGGGCCACGCTGCGCTAGTATCTTCGGCCATTGTTGTATTGTAGTTGGGAATTCAAACACCAGATCTTGAAGAAATGGCTCACTCGGGGGATCACGGCCGTGTAATTAAAACGGAAAATAAGTGAGATGTAGATTGAGGATGAGTTGAAGATGATCGTGAGAAATTTCCTGAGAGTGGACCGTTTGTGCACACCGCCTGCTGAATTTGCACCTTTTTCTGCGGTTGGTTGGTACCCACCGCTCATATCCTATTGGTCACCCCAGATATCCCGCCACCGATAGTTGAAGCCTGATTTGTCAGGCTTCAGATCGAAATCTCTTTTGTTCAACATCACTCACTCCTGCAATGCCGATGAATATACCCCGGCGCTTGCTCAGTGAATTGCTGACAATCCGATTAATATCCCAAGGATCAGTGTTGGAACGTTAAATATCGGGCTTTAGTCTGTTGGTAGCCGCTCAAATTAATGATAGAACTACGAACGCCGTGTTATATATATGTAGCTCTTTTATATAGTTATCGCATTTCTTGGGAATTTTCTTTCCATGTTTTCTCTACCTCATATGACCTCTAGTCAACGAAAATGAACTGATATTTTCGCCGAAGTGTGGAAGAAATTGGCCAGGAATGGCGTGAAATACGAAGGACGAGAGGTAAAGAAGGGGTGGGTGTCGCTGTCCTCTTGCACCTACACATTAATCAAGAAATTCTACAAGACTTTTAAGGTCTCCTTCAGAGCGTTACCCATAACTTATATAATCAAGGCTTTCATTTCCCCTAAATTATAGGGGCCTCAAATAGTAATCATATGTACATTTGGAATTCTATAATCTCATGCGTTCTAATATGCAAATTTTCCGAAAACATCAAACATCAAAACATTCAGTCGGTGCCGTTCACAGTGGCAGAGGCAAGTCTGGAGCGAGCACGCAGTGCAGGACCAAACTTGAACAGAACGAACGGAATGAACGTCAAAACAGTCGCCACTAATGCCAGCAACAATCCAGCGTACTGACTACCCATGTTGTGGAAGAACTGGGAAGCAAACAGCGGCGACACAGCACCGAGTGTGTTACGCATGAAACCCTGACCGGCAATAGCAGAGGAAGAGTGTTCGCCGTAACAATCCGCAGTGTAACTGTAGCAGGACTCGAAGATGAAGAAGATACCGATGGTGATGAGGGCCAGTCCGATGATGGGGCCCATCCAGTGGAGACCCTTGTACTGGCTGAAGCTGTAGATGAACAATCCGACGGGCAGCCAGACGGCTCCGCATAGGGCACCATACAAACGAGCTTCAGGTGCGATCTCAACGCTCGGGTCGGAGGTGAGGGATTTGTATTTGCGGATTTGAAGGAAGTTGAGACCGAATCCGATGGTGGTTCCGAGGCAAAGGGAGATGTAAGGAAGACCTGCGACTCCCTCGTTCCAGCCGCGCTTCTCTTGGAAGGTGATGGGGATGACGGAAAGGAAGAGGAAGGTCAGGAACCAGGCGAAACTGATCCAAAGACCGAAGGCGAAGACCACAGGCTCGGAGAAGAGCATCTTGACGGCCTTGACAGAGGAGTTGTGCAACATGTGCTTAATTCCAGGGGCTTCGATATCGTTGTTGGTAACGAAACGCTCATCGCCGGTAGCCTGGCGAATTGCCTTCGCACGCTTGGTAAGACAAACACTGCCACGAGTTTCAGGGAGGCAAATAATGATGACGATACCAAGGGGAATGTTGGCCAAACCCTGGATACCCTCGAGCCAGCGCCAGCCGAGAGCCTGGTCGATGAAACCGGCGTAGATGGGTGCACCGACTGTACCGAGGATGGCGATGAAGGAGAAACAAGACATAGGGATGGCACGGTGCTCAGGTGTGTACATATCTCCGAAAGTACCACCGACAAGAATGGTGCCGACACAACCAAACAGACCGAGCAGAGCACGGCAGACAAGGATAGTGGCAATGTTCTTGCCCAGAGCGAGGCCGATGAACATAAGGCAGAAGCAGATGTAGGCACCGATGTAGATGACTCGTCGACCGGCCAGCTCACAGAACGGAGCGAGGAAAAGTGGAGCAATTGCACAGGTAAAGTTGAAGGTGAATAGACCGAGCTTTCCAATTAATTCTGTTGTGCCGAGATCCTTTGCCATGCCTCCAATTCCGGAGCTGTATGCTGTCGTGGCGAGACCGATGAAAAGTGTCATGAGGCAAAGCTGAGTGCTGATGAAGGCTTTTCGGCCTGAACTCCAGTTGAAGGGGTTCTCCTTGTC